ACCCACACCCATCCTCAAGAATTGATCAATGCAGATATTATTTACATATAGCAAGCAGTAAATTTGTTTTATCATCATCAGGTAATAAAATGGATTGTTATCGTATTTGGGAAGCACTTTATCCTGGTCCAACACCAATTATTATAAATAAACGAATAAATTCAATTTTTCAACAACTTCCTGTACTTATTATTAATAATTATGAAGATTTGACTCTTCAATTATTAAAAGATTTTTATAATACTACGATACATCAAAAGTATGATTATTGACGTTTTGTATATAGGATATTGGCAAAATCAAATAAACACTCTTCGAAATTCTTTACAACCAATACGATTTCAATATACTTCTTTGAAACATTAATTTTATCTGTAAATGTAAAGCTAATAAAGAATATTTCAAACAATCGTTGATTGTTTTCATAATGTTCGATTTCAGAATGTACATAAGTAACAAATGTTATATGTCATTTATTTACTCAATTCATGTGGGCAAACGTAGATAGGAGGTGCTGTACTTAATCAATTCATGCAGATCGATGCTTGACAGTATATCCACTTGCATTTTTTTGATACATTATGTAACTTTCAATTTCCCATAAAATGGTAAACAAACCCTGAAAGAAAAACATTAAGCTTCAAAACCATATGTCGGTTACCTGGATACACTTTTTAGTGGTGATTCGTGACTATAACATATAATTTATATGATATCAGACCATCTCGTTCAGGAATATTTTCCTCACGTAAACATCATTATTAACTCGAATATTGCTCCCCAGCCATGTTGAATCGAAGTTTTATTAGTTACAAGAACAAAATATAAATTTAAGGGTAAAGGCGTGTTTATTTGACTTACCCTTAATTCAAGCTCATTCTCCACCAACAACCTCACTCACACACGATTTAATAAACAATTAATTCAGATCAAGCATTGTAATGAAGATCATGTCTAATCTATATCAGACATGAGATTGTTGGTGTGGATTGAAAATAAAAATAATCACACCTACATCCATACCATAATCTATAGTATTGATCTTGCAAGTGGATGTTTTAAGTAAGAATTTAACTCAATATATCTGATCCGCCTAAACAGAGCAATTCGTCAAAAGAAGTCTTGCAAATTAATTAATAAAATTAATTATGCATAGATTCCCGTCAAAAATCAAGAGAAAGGGAAAAAGCGCATAAGAAGTTGACTTGGCCCATTTTTGAGGATGAGTGTGCGGGTGTAGGCACTGTTCATTCTACATTCACATCCACCCACCCACCCATATCCACACGCCAACACTCACACTCACCGACCCATACCCACCCTCAGTTATTGTAAAAAAATAGAGATGCAATTTTCCTCTAACTCTCATTCATCTATTGATCAATGACAAGCAAAGAAATACTAGTTTCCACGATTTCATCGATACAAGTGAAGATCCGAAACCTTCCGAAAACACATCTTTTATATCAGCGTCGCAGCGTGGGGGCCGTGCAGCGCCCTTTGAAGAGCCGCGACCTATAGGCGTCTATGTGTACATAGAGGAATAACAGAAAACTTGAATAGTTTAAATAGTTCAAATAGTTGAATAGTTGGACAGTTGGAATAGTTAAATTCAACTTTTAGGTTTGACAGTACTGTCCCCTTACTCCACACCGATACCCACACACTACCCACACCCACACTCACACCCCTTAGTCTCCTTAACTGCTTAGTTTCTTGCTTTTTGTAGAAAGTGTGACTCATTTTTTTCAAAATTCAGTTCGAAATAAAAAAAAGACCATACATTCGAAAAAAGATAATAAAATATTATATGACTCAAGCATCTTTATTGTGCAAAATGGTCTTACGTATACATCGGAGTTTCATGATATCAGTCACAAAGCACAGAAAGATTTTTCCAATTTACATCACTGTTTGTTCTTTCTAAAAGATAAAGTATATTCTTGATGTGCGTAGTGATTCACAAACATGTTTGCTCTTCTCTCATAGGCAACATTGCGAAATCCTCTTGCAGTGCTGTATATAACACATAAATTTTTAGCATTTTACAGTGTTTCTTTTAGGCCAGCGAAATACAATAACAGTGGCACATACATCAAAAAGTAATATAACAACTATTTTCAAAAGAAGAATCGTAAGTAACGACTATTCATTCTTATTCGCCAAGAGAGCATTTTTGTAAGAGTGTAATGTTATGACTCATAACCAACATTCATCAACGTGATAAAATTTGAAGAGAACAGAAGAGAAGCCATTCTTTCGTAGGATCCAACTCATGTGCCTTCTGCTTATTTGCTAGACGCACTGTCACTGTACTATAGAAAGTTAACAACGATTGATTACTGAGAAATGTTTGTTTGTGATGAACTATCATAGTTTTGTGGTAGATAAGGAATATATTACAACTAATCGTTTCATAATCACATGGTAACACTTGTTTCGCAAAGTGAGATGCATTAAGATTGGGAAACCGAAAAATTTACGAGAGAATCTTCTCAGATGGCATCGATTATTTAACCTTATATAAATGTCACAAGGCGTTCTCAATGAAACTAACAGAGGCTAAAAAGTTTTCTTACTATAGGCTTCTGGAGCCTAATTATGGTCTTCACACCTTATTTTTGACCAACTTTTTTGATATTGAGGATAGAAAAAGTAATCGAGTTTTGACCTAAAATTTCGTCTCTGAAGAAGCCTAATCATCTTTAAAATATGCTGAAATTTTCAGCATAAGACTCTCACCCTAAACAAATTGTACCTATGAGCGACCAAATTTAATGATATTTGGAGGATATGTTGTGGTAAGAGGATGAGAGTAAGGGTAAAGTTAAGATCATTCATCATCATCCACAACCGTGCCCACAACTTCACATCTCTTTGAGTTGTCTTCGAATAGAAAATACAAAAGAGTTAGGGTATGTATAGTTTAGAGATTTTCAGCATTATTATTGTAGTGGTATCAATCGGCGTTTTATTTATATTTAGAACAAAAGTGACACCAAGACCCGTCAACGTCAACTAATCACCCAAGTCTGCGAATGGGGAATAGTCAAGGGCCACCGCGCTGCAACCAGACAGAAACCTATCTATATGCATTCAGGTATGGATCCGATGGCGTCCAGTTGCCAAGAACAATATCAGCCAACGATTTAAATAAGATAAGCGTTCGTATAAGAGACAACTTGTACGAAGCGAATACGGACAAGCGTGTTGAGATTGACGAGAGAAACTACGACACGGTGGCAGTAGGTGTAAACAACTCAAACGACACACTTATTGTGGCAGTCAACATAAAAGAGCGAAATGCGAATACGGAAAGTAAATCCGGCATTGAATATGGCCGATTTGGCATGAAAGAAGAGGACGTGATCGTTGTCGAGAGCACGTTAGCATCTTTGAACAAACATGGTTGCTATACAACACAGGTCATAACAACGAGACAAACGCCACAAACACCGCAGGAGAATGCCAAATCTCATGCCGAAATGCAAATATTGTCATATGCGCAAGAGAAAAATATAACCATAAGCAAAATAGGCATTAGCAAGCCACCGTGCAAAAATTGTGAAGAAAATCTAGAAAGCTCGAAAGTTGAACATGAACATGCGGAAGATGGTAATCAAAATCCAAAAAATTTCGAAGATCCACGTGCAATAAATACAAAACGTCTTGCTACCATTAAAAATTCTACATTTAAATGGGTGGTGCAGAACAGCTTGCCAAGAAATGCAAATGAGGTTAAAGAAGCAGCAAAGAAAAGTGCCGAGCTTCGCATGATGTTCAATTGTACTGTAAACAGTGCGACCCTACTCGATATGTATGACAACTACGACAGAGAAGCTTGGGCCAGACACGAGTCGTGCTTTGCCAATAAAGGTAGCTATCAGTCAGACAGGACATGGAGGAAAGGAGCTTATGCGCGTGCAGGTCTATATCAAGCTAGCACTGGCGGCAGCGTGATCGATGCTAGAGTAAACTTATTATGTGCATCGGCGAACGCTGAGGTTAGCATGGCTGGTGTGTCAGCTGGTTTTAAATTCATTCTAGCTAGTGTCGAGCTCAATGTAGGCCCAGTGCATCTTAGTTGTGGTCTAAAGGCTAGCACTGGATTTGCTGTTGGCGTAGATGGCATTGAAGTACAATTTCTAGGCACCGGGTTCACAGTTGGTCCCAAAAAGATTCGTCTGAGTATATCGGTTCTTGATCTGGAAATGAATCCTAATGCCGTCGTAGCTGCTTTATTCATATCCATTTCAAATGAATTCCATAGTGACTTTAAAGTAGACGACGACGACGTATTCAAATCGTTAATGTTCGCAATAGCCCAATTCCTCCATGGTGGTCCTCCACCACCACCAGCGGGGGCGTGTGCAGCAATAACAATAGAAAAACCACGAAAATCAGCGCCGATTGAACTAATGGTAGCCCAGCCAGTCAGACAACCGGAATGGCTAACTACGAAACAGCCAAAAACACAAACAACAAGCTCATCGTGGAATTTCAATATATTGGAATATTTGTTCCCAAAACAAAAGGAGCAGAACGTTTTAACTCATTGATAAACATTTTACATACATTTATATGAGCTAAGTCTATCTAGCTTGTTATAATGAATTTTCTCAAGTATAATCGTATGATATAACTCAGAAGAGGATTATGCCCAATTTTAAACAGATTATTTATAAACCAGAGATGAATATCAATTTTTTCAAACCATTAATATATAAGATTTTATGCTTGTTAAGTAATTGTTTCTAGTAAATCATCATGTAGGCATCTTGAGAGTGTGGGTGTGGGTGTTTGTGGGTGCGGATATGTGTATAGCCGTGACCTTCATGCATACCCGCCTACCCTTTTTACATCAAAAACTTTCAGAAAAAAGATAAAAAAATAATCTATGTATATATTAAGTAAATTGAGAGATTCAACAAAAAACATTATGCAGCATCATCTCAATGTTTTTTTTCATTTTTTTTGGATGCCTTTTAACAAGTGTATTTCAGATAATATATGTTTATAAAAGTGATCACAGAAAAAATTATCATTTATCCTTATTTTAAGCTCTGCGCGGATTAATTCTACATTCATTCTATTGTGACCAACCAACATTCATAGCGTCATTTCTGTTTATAATAATCAAATACGCATGACTTATTAGCTATTTATCATCCGCAATAGTAACAGTAATGAAACAAATAACAAGAATTGAATTTCATGATTATTATGGAAAAATGGACGTGTTAAATTTATTACAAAAAGTGTAGAAATCAGGAAAAACAAGAATTGAATAAATCACAAAAAACGTCTTTATTTTTGTCTTTTACTCTTCAACATACAAAATAAATATATATATATGTTTTTTTACATTTTAAGATTTAATTTCAATATTTTCTTTTTCTTCATCATCATGAGATTCGATTTGATTTGTAGTTAATTTTGATATTGGTCGATAATATTTCAATGCATTATTCCATTCATCACGTGGAAATCTCATATAAAAGGCAAATGTATCTTCATTCGTCATTTTTGTTTCAGTTAATTTTATCTATATATAAAGAAAGAAAAAATCTTAAATAAATATCTAAAATTAACGAACTTGAATAAAATTGACAATAAGATCCAGTGACATTTCCGTTTGAAGAATTGTTCGTGTTGCTTCACAATCATATGAACAAGCAATTAATGTTGGAAAAAGTATATCCATATATTTTGATTCAACAAAATAACGAAATGGTAAACATGATAATTGTTGTAATACAGTTGGTCGATTACCAAAAGCCAATCGACACTATTTAAAAAACAAAACAAAAGATGAATTTTTTTTATATTGAAATCAAAACTAACTTGATTATCTTGATTTAAAACTGAATAATAACCAATAAGAAGAATAATTTGATGTAATAATGTATCATTCATTGTTGTTTGTTGATTATGACAATATGCAAGAATATAATTAGCAACATGACGAAGTTGAAGTGAAATTGTTTCTTCACCGAGAATAGTCTAGAAAAAATAAACTTGTTTCGTTTTTCTTTTCAAATTAAAATTTTATTCAAACTTGAAATATATCAAGATCAAGTATTGCAATTGTATTTAATAAAATTAACGAATTATTCAGAATGATAAGTGTTTTTTCATGTAAAGTTATTGGACTATTATTATCATGCATTGTTTGGTTATTATTATTATTATTATTATTATTGTCAGTGTCATGAATAAGAATACCATAGAGTAAAGAAAAAATTTCACAGAAATTTGTTGTTTTCATTATACTCAATACTTGAGCTGGATCATTCACAGATTTTTTTGATGATTGACCAAATGGTGGTAGATATATTCTGTTAATTAGAGAAATACATATTCATTCTTTGATAAATACAATGAAAATTTTACTTTGGTCGAGAAAAATAAATCATTTGTTGTAAAAGATTAAGTAAATGAGTAATCATATCAGGTATACGTGATTTTGTTGTATTTACAATTGCTCTGGCTGAACGAAAGAATGCTGCTATCCGATCAAGTATAGCAATATTAGCCATATAACTAAATAAAATAATAATAAAAATTTCGTTTTGAAATCATTTTTTTTTGAAGAATACCTAATAAAATCAGTTAAACGACTTATAATTAATTTATCTTCATTAGTTTCAATTTCATGTTTTCGTATATCATTCATGACTGAATTGTACATTGTTATAAGACTAGCAAGTATTTCCGCTAGATTCGTTACTAAATCAATTTGAGCTAATTTTTCGCTTTCACTTTGATGATCATTATTAGATGTTGTTAAATCATCAATTTTTAAACCCTAGAAAAAAATGATTTTATTTAATCTAAAAAAATTGAACTTACAGTTAAATGTCGAACTAAACTTTCAACAAGTATTAAAATTTTACCACTATTTAATATATAAAGTGCATTATCTACATTATTATTTGTTGCCGCTCGATAAACTGATACAGTTAATGCAATAAGACTAAAAAAATTTCAATACATAATTATTTTATTTTACATATATATATAAAGTACCTTTCAGGTGCAAGTGGTGGTTTATGACATTCTGCACGTAATTCAATCAATTTTGTTAATGTTGTATAACCATTCAGACTAAAAAATACACGTTGTTCAAGGGGTGAATCCTGTAAGAAATGAATTCAAATAATATGTATATGTAAATAATTTTCAAAATAAAAACCTTTTCATAACTATGTATATCAAAAATTTTAACAAATTCAGTAAGAATTCGTTGACATGCTAGAAAATTTGTTGTATTCAATGGTTCTTTTCTTGTTGTTGTATTTAATGATTTTTCTAATTCATTTAAAAATCGTTGAATACTAAAATAAATATAATATCAAATTAAATTCTTAGATTTCTTCATACCGTGCTTTATGAGTTGACGTTAAATAGGGTCGTTGAGCATTTTCAGCTTCATATGCTGTTGAACTAAAAAAAATAATCAACATAATCGTATTTTCTATTGAATCTCTGTACCGTTGAGTCATTCGAAGACGTAATTTTTTTGCTCGTTTTTTCATAGTATGTTTTCGTTCTCGATTAAAAGCCATTTCTTGTCGTACAATATCATCATTAGTAACAGTAACAATACATTCTGTATTGAATGTATCCTACAATTTTATATTATTTTAAAATTAAGAAATTTTAAATTTAATCTATATTACAATATCTTCTTGTGTTGCTTGTTTTTTCATACGATTTTCATTCTTTTGATTTAATCGTTCAACTAATAATTGATTATGACGTGTACCACGTAAATGTGTATGTAAATGAAGATCAGACGCTAACTAAAAGAAGTATTTATGTCATTAATATTATAGAATATTTTAATAATCAAACTTACTAAAATATTACAGATTGTACAACATTTACGAGTTGCTATTATATCTTCTGATGTTGTTGTTTTATTATTATCATTTGTAGGGGAAACATGATGTTGATCTTCAGCACTTGGACCACGTAATACACTCATTTCAGTTGCTTTTCGACGAATTTCTTCAATTTGTGTCACGTGACGTCGAGTACCTTCTTCTTGCTAGAAATTAACAAAAAATTTCTATCTAAGAGAAATAAAAAAAGACAAACTTTTAATGCTAATTTTTTCTTTAATTCAACAGTTGTCGTTTTAAGATAAGCAACATGTTCAGCTCGTTTTTGTTGAAAAGTTCTATAAAATAATACTTCGATAATTTGCATAAAATACAAAAAGTTTACTTTTGTTTAGCAATAGCTGCTGTTTGTTTTTGTTTACGTTTTTCAATTAAATGTTGTTCAATCATTCGTTCTTTTGTTTTCCATTTTTCTTGCATTTGATTAAGACGTGTTTGTCGTAAAACTTCTAATTCTTTTCGACGATTTTCTGCAGCTAATTCACGTTGTTTATGTTCATCATGTTTCCGAACACGTTCATCTTCAAGATATTGTTTAAATTGTTCTTCTTTTTGATAACGTTCTTTTAATGTTTGTCGACGATTTTCTTGTTGCAGTAATTTAATAAATGCAATTTCTTGTCCTTTTAAATCTTCATCACCAGCTTTTTTCGCTTTTAATAATAATAAATATTGACGTTTTTCTTCTGCTCGATGCATTTTCATTTCAATTGTTGCTTTACGTGCTTTAATTAATTCTTCTTTCCATTGACGAACTTCATTTACCCGTTGAGTTAATTCACGCATTTTTCGTGCTCTTTCATCTCGTAAAATTTGACGTCGTTTAAATGCTCGTGCTAAATAAAAAAATCTATTTGATATAAAAACAAAAATAAGATTAATTTTCAATACCTTGACGTTCAGCTGCTTCATGAAGGGTTTCATTAATAGGTCTAGAGACAACAAAAAAACAAATGATTCGATAAATTTTTTTTGCGTAATAAATCATACCGAATACGTGATGGTGAAGAAAATTTTTTTTGTATACGAAGATTTTTTGTTCGAGATTTTCCATCAGGTTCAGAATCATTATCATCACGTAAAAGATCATTCGAACTTATAACTTTTTCATCACGATCATCGGGTAATGACATAAAATAACTCGACGTTTTAGTTGTCTAAATAAACAATGAGTTAAAATATTTAACACAAAAAAAAAATAATTTTTTTTACCGATAATTCACTTTCTTCTAATTCTGATCCATCATCATCACTAACATTATTTAACTGATGTTCAAGATCTTCTTATTCAGCCATTAATGAAGCAATTGTACGTTCTTGTTCAGCTTCTAATGCTGCAGTTAAAGATTCTTCTTGATCAAATGCATCAAATATTTGCTAAAACATCTTCTGAAGTCATACTTTGCTGTATAAGACGACTTGTTGACAATTGATGATGATATCGATGATGTCGATTAACATTAATTGATTCATCTCGAATATCTTTTTCATCATCAGCATCATCACCAGCTGTTTCATCTGTTAAAATACGTTTTGATGATAAAAAGAATTGATTTGCTGTATTTGGAACTAATGTCATTGTTGAATCATTAATAGCTGATGAAAATAATGATGGTAACGAAAGTAAACTTGAACTTTCAGTTGTTCTACGATGTTTCGTAGATTTTTGTCGTTTAAATCGATTTATATCGTTTGAATAATAATATGGAAAATTATTTACATTTAAATTTATATCACTGTTATGTAAACGTTTTTGTCGAGGTAACAAATCATTTGAAGAAAATATTTCATCTAATTTAAATGTATATAGAGAAAAGAAATTATTTATTCTTATTAAATTACCATTACATATTGATTGAGAATGTTCAAATGGTCTAAGAACAAAAAAAAAGAAAAGTTTTATTTCAATGGAATATGACTGAAAGACATTTTAGCAGAATAATGAGCAGGTATGAAAGCATATATATATATATTATATAAACAACCTGAAAGATGATATTTCTATCTCAAATGCTGATAGGGTTAATGATAAACTACGATAGGTTCTGAAAATTAATTAAAGATTTATCCAATTTAACACCCTAAAATTTTCTTACCGATTAGTTTTATCGTCAGAATTTTTTAAGAGTATTTCGAAATTTTTACAATATTGACTAAGATATTGTATAATTTCCTTAATAGAAATAAATAATTTTAAGTATAAAAATTAATAAGTTTTTTTGTATTTATTACTTGACATTGTAATGGATCTTGATCAGCTTCACATGTTTGATAAATTTGTTCAATAGATCGCTTTAAATTATCGAACAAAAATGTCCAATAGCGTGAACGGAAATCTGATGATGTTGAGTCACTATGACGAGATTGTGTATCATTATTTGAATTCCTGTTTATAATAAGACACATATATATGATGTATTACTAGCATCGGGAATTGATATCAATTTATTTTACCGATTCATATCTCGTAGTTACAGTTGTTATTGCTCTGGAGAAGAAATATCAATCATCTATAAATAAATAAAACATCCATGATTATCATTAACATAATTTATTTCAATCCAAAATAACTTTAATAGATGGATCTTGATTAGGAATGTTTTATTTTTTTTTCCGTTTATAATGAGCAACACAAAATACTAGAGTAGCACATAATCATTCATACTATTCGCAATGTACTGATACAAAAAAGAAAAGAAAAGAAAAGAAAGAAAACATTAGATCTGACTAGTCATCAGTATGCTGGAAAAGATTAGCTAATCCATGATCATCATCATTATTTGCATTTAAATTTTGATGATGTTATAAAACCGGATGAAGTGAACGTTTAGAAAAACGTATTAATGGTGGTAAATCACTTAATGCTAATGGTTCACGTTTAAACATTTGTACAACATTTTGACCCATTGATGGTTGTACTAAATGTTTTAAAATATCTCGTTTTTGTTTATCATTTAATGGTTTTCCATTGTTTTGCTTTTGCATTTTATCACGATAATTATTTACTTGTTCATTATTAACATCAGGTATTTCCATAAGAATACTATCAAATAAATTTGTTGATGTTTGTTGAAATGTTTCATACATCAATATAACTAATGAAAGTAAAATACAAACAAGTGGTTTATTATCACTATGAATTTTAAGTGCACATAATATATAAATATAAAGTTGTCGTATCAAAGCATTATTACCATTTCCTAATAAAGAAAGATGTTTAATTAATGGTTGACATATATTTGACATTTTTGTCATTATTGATGTATCTGGCCATGAAAGTCCATCGAATAGAATTAATAAACAATATTGACAAATTATTGATGAATATTGTAAAAGTTTTAAACCTAATTCACTTGGAATTGGAAGATTATGAGCATGTATCACTAGTTTACGTAATGAATTATCACCAAGATTTTGTTCATCAGTAGTCATCGTTTCATCCATACTTGTTTCACCTACATCATTATTATTATTTTAGCGTGTTAACAAAACTTTGATTAAATCAATAAAATCACGAGTTAAATAACATGTTACCTATTAAGAGATAAAATTAGAGCAAAAAAAACTAATCTACAATTTTATTACTTGTTCTTCAATAACTTCTTCTTCACATCGATCTTGTGTTTGATAAATATCTTCATTATTTTCATGAACATTTCCATTTGTTACTTTCATACTTTGTCGTTCAGTAATTATTTTCCATTTATCTTTTAATTTTGTATACATAAATGGAAGTAATGATTCCAAGATAGGAATAAGTATTGTATTTGTTGGACAATGTCGAACAAATGGTAAGAAACAATTACGAATTATATTTCGTAAACGAAATTCTAGTAAATGATCAAGTGATGAAAATAATGTTGTACCTATTATATATAATGAATCATTAAATTGATATAAATCAGGTTTTAATGTAAAATAAGTTCCAATTAATATTTGTAAACGATCAACAAATGAAGGAAATCGATTATGTAAACGACGATCATTTGCAGATAAACCTAATGAATTTGTTTGAATTGATGATAAGATATTAATTTCATCATTATTTTCTTGTTGAAGATAAACTGCTTTTTCAGCATCGGTCATTGTTGAAAAAAATGAAAATGTTGTTTGTACTATTGGAGAATTTGGTGAATGTAATGTATGACAATAAGTTAATAATTTAAATAATGAATTTGTTAACTGAATGAATGCAGGTGATTCTGGATTACTAATAAAAATAATACCTTCGAAATTTTCTTGATAACCACCATTCGAACATATCGATGAATCTGTTGGAAATGTTATACGTCGTATAAACATACATCAAATGATATATATAGATATTTACTATCTGATGTTTTTGTTAATTCAATATAATCAATAAAACTTTGTAAATCATTAACATTTGTATTAAATTTCGTTAATATTTCAGCAAAAGGTTGAACAAGTTCATTAATTAAAATAGCTTGCTGTTGAAATGATTCAAAATGATTTAATAATATCGCTAAACATTCAACTAAGACACTCCATTGCCAACCAGCAAGTTTAATATGTTGTTCCAAAGATGTTTATTGTCAAACTAAATTTTGTGTCATTATTTTTTGCAAAAAAAAAGATATTTGATAAATAAAGTATATTTTATTAGAGACAAATCGTTTAAGATATTTTATAAGTGATAATCTAAGTAAAATGATGATATGATCAAGAAGAAAACCTATATAGATTGTTAATCTCTTTAATTTCATCATATTCTATTTATGAATAAGATTTCATTCTAAAAATTTTTATTTATTTTGATTGTTCCTTTCATCAAATATTTAATATTTTCAAAATATTATTTTTGAGTTGATACACAAATCGACGATCTTGTTCTATTCTTTCGAGGTTCTTGCTTTTCTTGATTTTCAGGCACGATTCTTTTTCTATTCGTTACATTCAAGACTCTTGTCTTTCTTAAAGATTCTTCTAGATCGAATCTTGTCTGATGAGGCAAGAAATTCTTCTCCAGATAAGATTCTTATTCACTTGTCTTCTTGCCTGATTCTTGTTTTCTTTGAATTCTTATCTGATTCTTATCTTTCTTGGTTTCTTGTCTGCTTCTGACTTCTTAGGCTTCTTACCTGATTCTGATCATATTGAGCAAGTCTTTTCTAAGTTCTTGATACCTTTTTCATATCGTTTTATTACATGCTTGTCACATCATATACAAAAAAAGTAAAAGAACAAAAAAATACTTTAAATTTTACATATTCTTGAAGTAGTTTTAGTTTTTAACATGAAAAACAATAAAAAAAAGTACTTTTATTTATTTTTTTTAAATTTTACCTATACCAAAAGGATTATTAAACAATAATTTTTTAAATGAATCAATATTTCCTTCGTCAATTATATGTAATACTTTTATCGATGTGCAAAAATATACAAAAAAATAAAATCTAGAAATAGGAATTTGCATTTTATTGATTTATTATTTGATAGATATAAATAATAGTTAAAATACTTACTTGGATTTTGTGGTCTCGATGGTTCATCATCATCACTGATTTCTTTTAAATAAATAATATTTAATCCACCTCGATGATTGAATAGATCAGCTACAATTTTAAATATTGTTCCAGGCATTAAAATCACTTCATTTTCAATTGAATAATTTGTATATGATGAAATTGATTTTCCATTTGAGCATTCAATAATAAATAATGTACTTGAAGAAGATTTGTTAAGGAATGAAGAAATAACATCAATAGATATTGAACATGAACTTATACTCCACCAAATAATTTTTTGATCTTTTTTACAACTTTTAGTAACATCTTTACCAATACCACGCCAAACAATTCCTTTAAAGTTAGGTAATTTTGATGTTGCAGATTCTAAAAGTTTTAAATATCCAAACAATGGACGAACTTTTAATCGATCTTCTAGGCGAAGTATTTGATTTAAAATTTGATAAATATTTGAATTATCAGACATTTCCATAGTATAAATATAAATTGCAGCAGATTCATCTTTTGTTAAATTATGATCATTTGGATATGTACGAAATGCTTTAGCTATTTTAGCAAAACGATTTATGTCTTCAATAGAATCCTGTAATTTCTTTTTATTTGCATAAAAACTGCGATCATTCGATCCTAACAGTACATAAGAAAGCGAAAGAAAAAGTAAAAAACACATTATATAGATTATGATAAACGACTACATGAAAAGCAACAAAGTTATAATAGAACAAAAACTAAACTAAAGTGAGAAGTTACACATGATGATAATAATGAGAAAAGAAAAGAAACAACTTAACATCATCTTGTAATGTATTCATGGCTTCTTCAAGAGATAATAGTTTGCAAGTACGATAGCCATTACATGCTGGTAAGCGTTTGTTTACTACTTCAATATCCGTACAATGATTTCTTGGAGTACTCATCATGATTAATTAATTATTGAAATGGTTTTTGATTGAATGATGAACTAAATAAGAAAAAAGTATGACAAATTTAATTTGAATTTTATCATATCTATATATTAAATGAACAATTAAATTATATTTTCTTCATTATATTTGAGAGCATCGATGATTAAAGTTATTTTATAATTTTTTTATTCTTTTAATTTCATTATATCTTAGTGAGATACGAAGCCTAAGTCTATGAAATAAATATACCATACTTTTGTACTTGAGAAATCTTATAGTACATCAAAGTAGTTCTGCATAACTTAAGTTTTATAGATAAAATATTTCTCAACTTAATTTAGTTGAGATAATTATATAATCAAGTTTTATAGGAAGACCAAGTGTTTGTTTATAAAAATTCTATTCTATTTTCAATTCGGATCATTTCAATTTAGTTTTGTATCCTATATATATATCTTTACAAAAATGAATTTTCTTGTAAATTGTAAGGGTCAGAAAAAAATCTAGGACAATTCTACTTAAGTCTATACACATAATGTTGTATAATAATAGAAACTTTTGTAAAACATGAATTAAAAGGAGTGTTGAATGTTTAAGAGTAGAAACCCTACCCATCTTCCCTCTCTCCCTCAGATCGTAACAGGCATTATTAATTAACATGAATTAAGTAGCATTAAGTATGTGTCATCAATCAAGTAATATGAACTGATTATTAATAACTAATTTATATGATTTAATTCTCAATAATTAATATCATAGATCGTGGCAAACATTATTGATTCATACAAATTGATTTTGCAGTAGTGATTTCGTATTTCACATTTTTAATTCCCAAAGGATTATGATGAAAGCTTTTTTTATCTGTATAAAAATTTTACAAAGGGAGGATGTATGTGGGACTAAAGAAGATACACGCATAACCACAACAACCTACACGTCGCACTCACACCCAGACTCTTGTTCGTGAAGAAAGAATAAAAGTGACTTACTGGATGCTCCTTGATTGTTCACCAGGTCGAATAATCCGGCTCGGAAACAGCAGATTTCATGAAAACAATGTTCCCGTTGAACGGATGCGGTCACCGGAAGCAATTCCAAGGTCAAATTCTTGGCATTTTCCGACGGAATTCCTGACAAAAACGGTCGCTTTCCTCGGGGATTTCGTCGGAAATTTATGGAATCCTACTTCAGGAACCATCGTCCTGGGTATAACATCTATATTATGTTATGACTATAATATAGCAGACCATGTGTGATTGGTATATATATTATATTTTACGTTTTATATTTATTTTTCTATTCAAGGTACCAATAAGAACGCAAGAAAAGAAAATATTTTATTTATGGTTTATATGAATAGAATTGGAAAGCAAACAATTTAACTTTTGTGAAACACGATTTGAAACGAGCGTCTAAATGTTAAGAGAGAGAAATTTGGACCCACGTTCCACATAGACGCGATCGACAAGACACCACAGACGTGACTCATACATGTTCTTTTGACCTCGTCACAGACATGTCCAAATAGGGTATCATAGTTTGTTGCAATTGTTATAAGATAATATAAATCAATCTTTCTGTTTCTTGTTTTGTTAACTTTAAACGAATCATACAGATACAAAAAAAAATATTAATAATAGCAATAACAACAACAACAGCAGCAATCAAAGAAAAAAATTGATACACGCTCGCCTATGCATTGTACAAAATATATGGAAAAGAAAAAAAAAGAAACTAATAATAAATATTTATCATTGTCTTTTTTTTGTTTTTTGATTAGTATTTTTCCAACCACGAGGTGCTTCATCATCACCAAAACTTTCATCATCAGAATCAGCTTCACGTCGTTTACCTAATATGAGATCACGCAATTTTTGACTACTTGATGAATCTGAATCATAATCATAGCCTTCATCATCATTTTGTTTATCTATTGTTGTAGTTGGAGTTGCTGTTGTTGTTGTTGCTGCTGCAGTTGTTATTGGAGAAAATGATGATGTTCGTTGTTGTTTTTTTGGACGAGCTTGTACATCGTTTGAATCATCATCATCATCATCATCTTCGTCTTCATCATCGTTACAAAAATCATTAACTTCTTTTTCCATATCAGATAATTCATCAACACTCATGCTGAAATTATATTGTCTTGCTGTTTCTGCTGCTGCTGCTCCTGCTGTTGTTGTTGCTGTTTGTTCATCTTCTTCAATTATATTACTGGGCATATCACTAGTTGATGGTAGTTCAGGAGTACGAGCACGTTTTAGGGATGATTTTGAAAATTTACTGACTGTTGAACTTGAAACTTGTTCATCATTAGAAGGATTTTCAGTCTTAAAGAGAAAGAAAAAATTAATAATTTCTCATTAATATAGGTTATTACCTTTTGTTTCATTGAAGATATTCGATCATTTCCATTATTAGAATCATTATACACTATAAAATATAATTTCAAATTTTTATAATTATATTTTATTTTCTGTAAAAAAAAAGATTTACTCATTCTAGGTGTTTCTTTTGTAAATAATCTTGATTTTTTTACATCATAATTTGAATGTAAAATATAATTCTCTTCTGCTCTTCGTTCCCATTGTTCATAACAATCAATTAACCATTCAGGTGTAACAACATGAATATTATATTTGATAGCACTTTCAACTTTAGATGTTCGTTTGCCTGCAATAACATGTGTTGTTAAACAATGTCCATTATCGCTTATTTGTAAATCTTGTGTAACAGTTGCACCTAAAGCTCGTGCAAGAATAGTTGCACGATGTTTTTCTAATGGATAACCTTGTGGCATAAGATGAGAAAAACAAACTGAAACATTTTTAAGTACTTGTCGACGTATATCTGGTAAAATTTGTTTTAAATCAGGCATATCACGTGTTTTATCTTGTGTCCATTGATCATAGGATGCGTAAAAATCAGTATGAATACGTTTTAAAATTATTTCTAATTGCCGTAAATAAATATCACTATCAACAGTAATATTTGGATCAGTTGTCACCGGAATATTTATGGTATCTGTTTGTTCATTATTATTATCATTTTGTTCTTTTAATTTTTTACTTGTTTCATCACTATCCATTCTTTCATTGGTATTATTATTATTATCATCGTCATCATCATCAAGTTTTCTTTTTTCACCTCTCTGCAAGAGATCTTGATGGCCTTCCTCTGTTGTTCGTTCTTTTAGTGCATTACTATTCTTTTCTGCACGTTCTTCAACAATATGTTCACTATTTTCTAATTGTTCTTCAAATTCTTTTTCACTTATTGGTGGAATTAATTGTTCACTTGGAATAGGTGGAGATGGAAGATGTACATCATTAATATCACCAACATCTTTAAACCATACATATGGTTTAACATGTACAAGATTTCGTGCATAATTCCAAACATCTTCACGATCATCAATAATACAAACCATTGAATCACCACATGGAAATAAAGCGCTATACACCAAGAAAAATAAAAATTAAATATTGATTAATAGAAAATTAAAATTTACCCTAAATTAGCTGTTTTACGTGTTGGATCAAAACATTCATTACGTGATAAAATTCTATGATAAAAAAATGTTTTATTTGGATCAATTAAATTTGCCATTGTATGAGCATAGACACGTTCACCAAAAGTAACAATATGAAATTGATAATATGGTAAGAGATTAGCAAGAAATTCTTTTACACCGGGACGTAATTTTGTATAGAATCTTTGTGATGATTGAGTACTTAATTGATAAGCAATGACATCCTATTCAATAACAAAAAACAGAATTGAATTGAATTGAATTTTTGAGAACAAATATACAGGTGAATATGGAAAGTAATTGCTTGAATTCGTTGTATGAAGAAGTGTTTGATCAAGATCAACAAGTAAATCAAGTTTTCGTTCGCGAAGTAGCCGATCACGTTCTTCAATACTATATTTTTCGGCCATCTAGACAATGATAAAATAATAAATTTATAAAAGAAAAAACACAGCAAACTTCTGGTGTAATTCTTAATTCTGGTACAGCATGTTCCATTGAAACTGTTGTTGCTGTTCTCATCATACTTGTTGATGATGATAGAGATGTATCAAATAATGGATCTGCAACAGAATTTCGTGATGATATCATTTCCATTCTATCTTTTAACCTTTACAAAAAAAGAAAACATAATGAAATGATATATTGCTTTGTTTTTAAATATTCATTTTACTGATTTAAATCAGCTCCACAATCACAACATAAATTTTTGAATGTTATCGTATGAAGACATTCTTCATATTCCAAAATAATTGAACTAAATTATTAAAAAAAATATTTTCAAAAATAATAACAACAAAAAAGAATTTACCCATATGATAAAGTATCCCATTCATGAATATATAATTTTGTTACTGTTCCCAATACAGTAGATAAAAATGGTTCCTTTTTGCCATCTATACGTTACATAAATAAAAAAAAAGAAAATTTTTGCTACAACCGAATAAGTGAACTACTTCGAATTAATTTTATCCCTTATCGATTTACTATTCTTTTTTTTGATAAAGGAATCTTATTCACGTTAAAATTCAGAGGAGTTCACTATACCCGGATGATCAGTATCGACCATTGTAAATATCGTTTCATTTTTTGTTAATCGGTGATTTTCTTTAGCAAATACTTTTGTTACTTGAACCGATTTATTTAAAGAAAATTTAATTTTTTTTGTATTGTTATTATTATTGTTATTGTTTCCAACATTTGTACTTCCGTTTTTGCTCATTGTATACAAGAAAATATTTGAATAATTATCTGCAATAATAAAATCGATGTTTAAGCACCATGAAAACTTCGTTTTTATTAATTATTATTAAAGCATATGCATATCAAGCAAAGAATAGAAAAAGAAAACAGATATAGGAAGAAAGAAAAAAAGGAAAGAAACAAAATGAATAATCAAGCAACAATGTTTCATAATTGACAATGATAAATCTGCAATCAGAACGAGTACATCATTCATTAAAAAAAAAAGAGAAAAGACATAAATAAATAATGTTGTTCTTCATTAAAAGATATCTAAATCTGATTTTTGTTTTTGTTGATTGCATATATGCTTGTTTTAAGGAAGACAGACAATAGTGTATAAAACAAAATGATTAAATAATAAAAAAAAAAGAAGGAAGAAGGGTGACTAGAGAAAAAAAGAGAAAGGGATTTATCTGCTGGATATGTCGACTACTTGTAAAAAAAAATAAAGAAACTAATTTGATTCTCTGAAGATAAAAAAGAAAAAGTTAAACAAAAATGTTTGTTGCAAGAGGTTTTTTCGGTGCTTGTTTTTGTTGTTGTTGTTGACCAAGAGAAAATGCATTTTGTTTTTCAAGATCACGAGGTGGATTCTTATGTTTTGACCACGCATGAAAACATTTACGAAATTCAATTGGCTCTGAATTTTTAACAGTTAAACGTAATTTACGTGGTCGATCAGGTTCACGTGTGCGTAAATGTTGAATATAAAGCTAAATATAAAAATAGAATTAATATTATCAACTTATAGTAAACAATTTACGCACTTCAGCACTTTTAGCTGCAAATTTAACTTCAATAATACTAGCTGTTGGTCCTTTCCATAGAAAAACATATGTTCCAGTATCTAATAACATGCAATCATCATCAAGTAAATCATCCTAAAATTAATCATAAATATTTTAAAATGAAATAAATTTTTCAATAAAAATTTTACTTGACAAAAATCTGCATATTTTTCAGTAACAACAAAATATCCATTTTCATTCGAACATTTAAATAAACGCATATAACGCATATAATCTGCTGTCTAGAATCATATAAGAAAATATAAAAAAGAAAATAAAAATTATTCCACCACATACTGTATCATATGCTAATCGATCACCTAAACCAACCCAAAAGAAATTTTCCGGTTCATTACCCTCATTAATTACTTGAATTGTATATGTATCCTATTAAAACATCATTTAATAAAATAAATGTTTATGTAGTTTTTTTGTTTCTTACATTATACATTTCATTGGCAATTTCTTGTACGAGTAAAGCATCATCAGGATGAACATTATTGCCAACCCACACATACACAATTCCAATAATATCTCCTGAATCAAGGGGTACAGTAACAATATAACTAAGAAAAAGGAAAAAGAATTTTTTTAATTTAATTATAATATTTTTTTAATATACCAAAATTCTGAACATAAATTTGCTGATGTTGCTTCAACTTGAATACAACGTGTCATGATTGTTGAATAACACCAACGTATATGATACATTTGTGTATGTGTTAAACGTTGTATAGGCATTTGTATACGTTGAGCTGTTGTACGACGTTTACCATTATGTATAACAAATTTTCGATTAAAATGTGCCATAAATCTTTGATTTTCTTGTTGTTGAATTAATTGAACAATTTCAAAATCTCCAAGTACATCAATTAATTCTTGTTTGAAACTATAACAAGGTATCTCTATATATTTTTAATTTTAAATTAAGAGATCATACGTGTAATTAAATGATAACCAAGCTGTATTGTTTGCACTTCTTCCTTGCCAGAAATAGACAATACGTTCAGTATCAGAATCTTTTATTTCATCTTCAAGTTCACTTGTATCGATACTTTCATCTTCACTTGGTAATAAATATCGAGCAACAAATAAATATGAATCTTGTGAATAAAATTGTCCTTAAAGAAATAAAGTTTTTTTTCAGAAAAGATAAGAATTATATTTGAATTACCTCGTTCATCATCAGGTAGTTTAACAAATTTTTTATTTTCATAAACAAACATAGAAAATGGTTGAAGTAAAAATATATTCCAATCTTCTAAAGCTTCCTGAGCTGCTGTACGTGACTGCCATGGAGGACGATTTTTGAATAAAGCTGTTAGATTTGTTTTCATTTCATTTTCTTGAAGAATTTTCTATAAAACAAAAAAAAAATTAATGTTATTTTCTTATATAAGAATATCATCAATACAAACCTTCATATCAGCACCCTTTCTTGTTACATTCTCTGCTGTACGAGTAAAATCAACAGCTAATACATCATCCCAAGCATCAAATTTAGATTTAAATACTTGTGTTTCGACTCTAAAAAAGTTATTTAAATTTAATATTAATAGAATAAAATAATCTTAAATATACCCTTCAAGTGTTTTTGTAATAGATGCATGAGCTGGTCGTTTAATCATTGCTAATAATTCAACTGCTAAACGTGTTGCTGCCATTCGAACAAGTCGTGCTGATTTTTTTCCAATCCTAAATATACAATTTTTGTTTTTATTAAATATTATTTTATTCCTTTTTACCAAACAAATAGTTCTGTATAGCAATCAAGAATATATATATTTCTTGTATGAAGTAATTCTTTCTTAAGAGCACCACCTGGTTCAAGTTCAACTAAAAGAAAAACAAATAATAGGAATAATATTTAAATACAATTAACTAACCTTGAGGTAATTCGATAAATTCTTGTCCAAGATCAACTTTATAAAGAATAGATCTCGATGGTATAAAATCATCTGGAACACTATTGACTAATTGATAATTAGCTGGTTTACCACCTAATTCTTTCCAAAATGCATCTGTTTCATCACCTTGATTTATTTGTATTAATTCACTAAGACCTTTTCTTTCACTTTTATTAATTTTTTCAACAAACAATCTAAATTAGATCAATATGCAATTTTCATTTGACAAAACCTTAAATCAATTATTTCCTACCTTGTTTTAGCTTTTGTCATATTATGACATTTTTTTCCAGTCCATATATAAATTTTTGGTCCAATATCAAGAAAAAGTACATAACGAGGATCAAGAGATGTTGCACTAACTGCTACAAGTTCAACATGTAATTTTTGTGTACCACTTGCACGATAGAAACGTGTTGGATGTTCCTAATAAAATATCATTTATATTATATTTGAATATCTAACAAAAATTGAAGTATTCTTACAATATCTCGTACAACCCAAAATCCAGTTTCTGTTCGAGCACCATCAATAACACGCAAATGATTATTAAATAAAGCTAAGAATTCTTCTGATTCATCTGTTTGTTCTTCACGTTGAGTTCGACATGATGCGCCAAGCATATTACGTAGGTTAACTGCATGCATAGCTGCACATGCTTGTTTATCCAACTAAATATTTAAAACAAAAAACATTTTCAAAAAATTTTTATTCATTTATTGAAATGTTTACCGTTGCATCTTTTCCAATCCAAAAATAGATATTCCAATCCATAGTTCCTGATAATTCAACCATAGAATGTAATACAATATAACAATCACCTGTATAAAATGTTCCATTTAATTGACGTTCTAATTGTTTTGGAAGAAAATTTTCAATTTCCCAACATGTTATACCAGCTATATGACCAACAGCTTCATCGAAAAATTCAGTATAATTTAATTGTGGTCGTTCAATTTGTTCATCCCAACGACGACCAGCAATTTCTTCATCATCATTATAATGTCCATTATTCATCATATTAGAATCAAGTGCATGTTTACGTTTAGCTGTTTCACGCATACCACGTAAAACAGTTTCCGACGAGCCACCACTTCCTACTGGATTTCGTTGTTCAGGTTTATTTAAACGACGAATACGTGCTGCACGTTTCTGTTGCATATCTGTGTTAGCAACCGGTTGTTCAGGTGCAACTTGACCAGCTAATTTTAATTGATTAGCAAGAGAAAAATCAATATTATAAAATGCTGGACCAGAACCTTTTTGACATTCTTTAGGTTTTGGTGGCATAACGAAATCAGGATTGTCACTAACATCAAGTTCCTAAATAGAGAGTTGGATGTAATTGATAATCCAATCATTTTATTAATCTGGTATTATTTTACATTACTTTTCATATATTTTAATATCCTTCATTATTAAGAAGCGTGAAAGGTGACAGAATAAGTGTCTCTGACGTATGTATACAGTTTGTCAAACATCAAAATCAGTTATTTTTATTCTTTAGATAATGTCAAAAAATATCAATTAAATGAGCTTTCCTTAACCTTCAAGTGTCTAGACACTTAGTGTATATACAAGGGTCATTTTAACGGATATTTTGAAAAGAAAAAATATCACTGTAGTTGAAGGTCTTTCTGTTTCACTATCTGAACTCAAAATAAAAATTTGACAGAAAATCTTCAAATGCTTACTTTTAATTGTAAAAAATGAATGGCTTCCGGTAATGTTAATAATCGATTTTTATTTAAATTCAATACTTTTAAACTTCCTAATCGACAAAGTGCATCTGGTATTGTTTCTAAATTATTATCAGCAGCACTAAATACTTCAAGTTGTTCAAGATTAAATATTCCTCTTGGTAAACCATGTAAATTAATTTGATTGCTATTTAAATAAAGACGTCGTAATTTTGTACAACGCATTAATTGTTGAGGAAGACTTTTAAGTTTATTTCGACATATATGAAGAATTTCAAGTTGAGGCCAACCATCTATTATATAAGAAAATTTTATATTCAATTAATTCAAATATTTAATTCTAACCTGATTGACCAGTTAATTCAATTATTTGATTATCATTTAAATTCAATCGTTTAAGTGCTTTTAATTTATATACAACATCCGGTACGGCCGGAAGATCATTTGCTGATAAATCAAGATCTAATTAATTAATTAAATAAGATTTTTTGATATGTATATAAAAATAATATCATACCAGAAAGATTTGGTAACTGTTCAAGTATGGCTGGAACATTATTTAATGTTCTTTTTGTATTACTCAAATGAAGAGTTTCAAGTGAATGCATGGATGATAATTGTCTATTAAAAAACAGTTTTTTTCGTCTTCTTAATTATTAATATTATTCTTTTTACCTCAATTGTGCAGTAACAAGTGGATTATTATTTAATATTAATACTTGCAATGATGTTAATCGACGCATTTGTGCTGGTAATGTGTCTAAAATAATAATGATATTATATGTAAAAAGAATAAATTATTTTCTTACCAATTTTATTATCACTTAAATTAAGATGAACTAATTCAAAAAGTGAAACAAATACATGATTAGGAATTTGTTCAATACTAAAAAATAGATGTGAAAACAGATCTTTTTTCTCCTATATTTTAAACATACTGATTTGATGAAAGATTAAGTACAATAAGACCTTTCGCATTTTCAATATCTTTTGGAAATGCTTGTAAATCATTATGACTTAAATCAAGTATTGATAAATCAGGAATATCAAATAAACGTGCTGATATTTGTGTATTTGATACATGATTATCTCGTAATGATAATGAACGTAATGATGTTAAATCATTTAAACATAATGGTACATCACGTAAATCATTATGTGCTAAACTTAATTTTTCCTACAAAAATTTCGTTTATATAATAATACAAATGCGAATTAAGCAAAAAAAACATACAAGTGATTTTAAATTTCCAATAAATTCTGGTAAACGGCTAACATTTGTTCGATTTAATTCTAGCCAACGTAAATTACACATCTCTTGTATTGGTACTGGAAATTGTTGAACATTCTTAACGAAAAAAACAAAATTTTTTGTTTAAAACGAATAAATAAACTACGAAATTTTCATACTCCAAATGCATTTTTCGATAAATCCAATCCATAAATATAAGGTAGAAGAACCGAAGGAGCCATTTTGTAATAAAAGAAATTAATAAAAAAGGAATAAGTATATATATTGTCCTTCCATTGAATGATTCATTCGATAGGTTATAATTTGTTTTCGAATAGTTTGTCGCTATATGTCAATTGATATCTCTACCAATAATAAAACAGAACAAATGTTTATTTGTTCTATGATAACGAACATGATCATTTAATGATTTCGTTTTTACATTGATAATGCTATCTTTACTTGAAGTTAAAAGCAAAGTAAGAAATTATTCTTTAAATTGAAATTTATAAATTTATAGAAATTATTTTAGTTTGGTGCTGAATTTCGTCGATTTGAATTAGATAGAAAAATTCCAATAAAATTTGATGATTTTTATAAATTAATTGAAGATTTACATGGATTACAAAATATTGCATTTCATATAACTTATCTAGATAAAGATGGAGAATTACTTTCGATTAATAATGATACTATTATTGAACATATTTTACGAGTTTATTCAGGTTTATTAAGAATATTTGTACAACGAAAAGGTAAAGAAAATAGATAAACTTATAACATTCGGGATCTTACTCTTGAAAGTATATCTCAAGTGATGTATTATTTAGAGCGTGAAAGCTAAAAAAACCCTTCGCAAATAACACCCACTTGAAGTGCATGAATAGAAATATCAAGCGATGAAAGTCAATAAAAAAAACTCAAGACGTATTTACAACATCTGACTTTTTTTCCGTAGATAAATTCTAATGAAAATATTTATTGTAAAACGAAAATACTTTACCCATAAATTGAAATTTTTTTAACATAATACTAAATGAAAATATTTGTTCTTTGTCTAGGTGAATCGTATCAATATTCAACTGATTCATTAAAAAAACGAAAGAAAATATCTGATCAAATATCATCATTTATTCATCCATCATCAGATAAAAATACTCATTCTCCTCAACGTAATATTGAAATTCAACCAGATTTTCGTCTTGTATCATCAATAATTGATGTAGAAAAATTACCTGTTACATATCGACGTGTTAGATTACATCGTTATAAAGAAAGTAAACCACTTGGATTTTATATACGTGATGGTGTTGCAATTAAATATGGTCCTAATGGTGTTGAAAATGTACCCGGTGTTTTTATATCACGTCTATTAGCTGGTGGTTTAGCTGAATCAACTGGTTTATTATCCGTTGGTGATGAAATAATTGAAGTTAATGGAATTGAAGTTAGTGGAAAAACATTAGATCAAGTAACGGATATGATGGTAGCAAATAGTCATAATTTAATTATAACTGTTCGACCACAAAATGATACATTTAATTTACAACGTACAGCATCATCATTATCAACAAGAAATACACATAATATAAGTAATAGTACAAATCAAAATGGCGGCTTAAGTGATGATGATGACGATTTATATCGTTTACATGATACTCATATTGATGCTCATCTACCAAAAACACCATCCGTGTTAAAATTGTGAATCTCCTTGTTTATAGTCGTTGTTATTTCTTCTTATCATATATATATATATGTATATGTCGGAATTGACTTTAAAATTCAGTTGCTTTTTAACGACGACTCGTTGATTGCAAAATATAGAAAAATTAAACAATGGTTTTATTTTTCCAATCAATTAGTCATGTTTAAAAGACAATTGAATGTTAAAGTTAATTCCAACACATATATATGCACATTCCAATCAAAAATTTTTTTGTTTCTTGATGTACATATAATATATTGATACATGTATGAGTGTGTGCGCGCGTGTCTTTTTAAAAATGTTATCTATGGATGCAATTGAACGAAACTTTTTGTTTTTTCTTTGTCTGGTATAATAATACAAGAAGAGTCGGTTATCTATTAATTCTGTTTCTTTTGTTTTTTCGTTTTCGTAATTTCATTATGATCAAATATAATATATTCACTTTTTTTTGTTTTCCAAAAACATAAATAAATATTGCTTTAAGATATAAATATATTCAGTTTTTTAAATAAGTTTATAATGAGTCTATTAGTCTGTGAATACCTTGATGTAGAAAAATATTGTTCGCTTCATTTGAAAATCATCAATTTTCTGTAAACAGTATACATGCTGTCAACATATTTAATAATAGCTTAATCTAATATATATTTGAGATTGAAAGGGTAAAACCAAGGTCTTTTTTATTACTTAATGAAAATTGAAAAAGACAAACGATGAAATCATAAGGTTAAAGCCTACTTATAATTTAAGCTTAAAGATTTGTACGATGTATGCAATCATCCAGACATATGTAAAAACTTATCATCAGTAAATAATATTTATTTCTTATTCGAACATATTATTTCTTTTGAATGGATAAATATACATTTATAATAACACTATCATTATATTGTTTTTCAACTAAACTAGGTCAAAATTCTTTTTTATTGAAAAATCATTGTCAACTTGGCCTAGACTTATATGATGAATCATTGAATTGGTTATCATACAAACAACTTAGTAATTTTTGTTTTTTATGTATTCATTTCTATAGATTGATATCTGATATTAGAAGCCCACGTAGTTTTAATATGTGTGGAAAGAAAAAATATTAGAACGAAAATGTTTATGCATTGCAACAAGCCCATATTTAATTTTTTATTGATGATATGGCAAAATATTTACATAGAAGCAATAGGGAAAATATAACGATGTGTATGTCATGATTTTATGGTAGTGACTAATAATTGAAACGAATTTTATGATAAAAAAAAAATAGATTTTTCTATAAAAGGTAGTTCCAAATAAAAGTCTAGCTTGTAAAAATCAATTAAATAATTAGAATGTACCGAAAACTGTCGTAAGTAATAAAGTAAAAAAAAACGATAGAAGAATTCTTTTTTGATTAGTTTAATTCAACGATAATACTTAATCACTGATTCAGATAGATGAACGTAATAGTTCAGTAGTTTTCTATGAATTGCTTTGTATGTTATTGTATCATGAGAGACGTGCAAATCAGAATAGGTCATTAATAATCACGACATTAGTACGTAGTTTCTTCACCTCGCCATTCTTTTCTTACTTTCGGTCTCACTTCTTTTTTTTTCTCCTTCTTCTTTCTTTTCTTTTTTCAGTCGTCAATTACATCCAGAAATTATTTAACAGGAAAAAAAAAGAGTTTCATGTCTACGATCGTCAGAAATTATTGTTGGCGTCTTTTTTTTACCGACGTCTACTGTTTAGAGTAACACATACACGTGTGCACGAAGTACGATTAAGTGAAAACATACGGACGGCAACAGCGTGTGACGACTACAAAACTTGATCGCATAGGTATCGATACACATCATTAGACAAATGTCGACAAGTTCGGACACTAATGAAGATGATCGAATAGTGGCAAAATGTTACGTTGAATTGGGTTATGTTACAAAGGAAAAAGGCGAATACGATGAAAGTCTTCGTTATCATCGTCAATCACTTGAAATATTTGAACGAATCGATGATGCATTGTGTGTCGCCGATAGTCACTTAAATATTGCTGAAGTTTATAAGGCCAAAGGTGAGCTAAAACAAGCAATGTGTGAGTATGAAAAAGGATTAACATTATACGAAGATGTTTATGTGGATGATGCAAATAAAAATAGTGATAGCGGAACTGATCTTTCTCTCAATTCATCTTACTGTGATCTACAACATACAAAATCTCTTAGTAAATCTGAAGAAATATTACCACAAGTGACACGTATTAATATCTTAGGAAAAGATACATCAATTCATTCTCCTCGACATCCGGCAAATGTTAGTATAATAAATACATCCATTGCCTCATTGAATTTAATTAATTCTTCATTATCAAAAAAACTCAGTGAACTCGAAGGTATTTCACATTTAACGACAAGTGTCGATGATTCCGCTTTGATTTTGTCTAAAAATCTGACTGATAAACGATTAAATTCACTTTCATCTTCACGTACGTCTGATCTTGAAGTATTTGACGATGCCGATATATTTGCTCCAATATCATCATCAGATTTTACTTATGAAACAAGTGATGAAACAAAACCTGAAGAAAATGATATTATTGATATATGTACACCATTTTTATCATCATTCGAAATGACTAATCAAGACCAATTATCATCAAACACAAACTATTTACTATCCAATACAAAATCAGATAAAGAAATCAATAATAATCATGTAAGTTATTCTTTTCCTTATTTTGTCTTAAAATTAATAATGTCATATTTTTGACAGCTTTCGTATAATTTTTTATTTAAATTAAAATATATATATATCAAAGCTTCTATAGAATACATTGATCCAAGTTGTCATAAAATAACAAAACAATAATAAAATTTTTTAATTAGTTTTTTCTCTACAGGAATTTTCTAATGAAAAGATCTAAAAACAACTATTTCCATCAGAAGTATATATATTTAGTCATATTGAAATAGTCAAGACAAACATTTTACGCAAATTTAACGGTTCTATTTTGATACACAGATGCATATAGACTCAATATAAATTATTGATTTTTCTTGTTTTATTAATAATGTACACTTGATTACTTATTCAATTTAGTTAAAACCAGATCAGTTAGTTTAGTTCTAAATTATGATGATATAAATAGTTAAATTTTCAAACAAAAATTGTTTTTTATAAGAAAATTTCGTTCTATTTTCAGGAGCGGACTAATTTTCACGGATATGCTAAATCATATAACAAGAAACAGGCAAGTATATTCGTTTTAATTATAAATTTATTATGATAGTCTATTTTTTAGTTTGGCAGTACACGTCGAATACCGCATTATCTCCCAAATAAACAATTTCTGATCATTCTCTTTACAGTCTTCCTTGCATATGCCTCTTGCCGGCTGTTTTATGATTCAACTCGAAATAAAACTATAGCATCAAGCTCATCCGATTCTTCTGTAAACATACAATCTCGCATTCAAAATGATCGCGACGACTTGAATAAACAACTTCGAAAACTTTTACTATGGAGAAAAACTCAAATATTATCTTTAGACAAAGAAAATCGACGAGCCATTGAAGAATTTTTAATTACTAATTCTGATGGTCGTACGAAAATGACGGTGGATAAATTTCAAAAAATACTGAACATGCTAGATTTAAAAATCGCATTGATACCACGTTGAAACAAAAATGTATATGAATATTTAATAATTCTGCCCAGTGTGTACGTGTGTGTTAAAGATTTTTTTTTATATATTTGAATGATTATAGATTATACTAGCATTAAACAAGAACGAATGTATTCTAATTACTCGTCATCAAAAGTTCACATGTGCTAACAAAGTTTAAACGTTTTTTTTAGATATGACTTTATTGTGTTTTTATGCAAAAAAATTCTCGTTAATAATATACTATGAATAGAACCAATTAAAGAAAAGAAAATTTAGTTTTTACATGCAATAAAATTACTCTTGCCATTTAATTTGACACAGAGAAATGGAAACAAACATTTGATATTATGTTACCTATGACATTTATTATGAGAGCTAGTTCACGATGATCCTTGAATATTAATAATATTGAAAGAGTGAAAGCCTTTTTTTTTATTTGCAATATTGGTGATTATTGTTGATCCTATCAGTACAAAAATAAATCTGTAAAAAATTGCAGAAGAAAGAAAAAAAGAAAGGTTAATATTATTTTAACATAGTTGAATATAAAAAAAAATAAACAATGCAACTTCGTAATATTTTACTTTGGATGTATATAAATATTTTCTTCCGCCCATCTTCAACTCGTACTTTTATTTAAAACTCAGAGATTAACAAAGAATAAAAATCAACTATTGCCATACATAGAAATGAAAATAAATTCGTTAATACTAACGATGATTTTACTTAACAAGATGTTAAACTGTGTTTACTTTCCTATTCGTATTTTGAAAAGAACGAATGAATCACCTATCCAATAGGATTATAAAAAATAAATATACGTAATATGGATTATACTATTGTTTAAAGATGTTTGCCAATGTTTTACTATCAGTGAAGAGTAAATTTCGATTAATTATTTGTAATGAATTTTCGAATTATCTGATATTTCAGGATCTTCGTATGTTACTTTACAACAAGTAACATGTCGAACAATTGTTTCTAGTATTGGAATGGATTCTACAGGTCGTAAAAAACGACCTGTTTGGAAAAAATTGATTGCTGAACATGCTCCTTTACTTTTACCAGCTGCACATGATGCATTAACAGCTAGAATCATAGAACGTATAGGTTTTAAAGCTTATCAAATTGGTGGTTTTGCTTTAAATGGCGCACGGCGTAAGTATTTAAGTTAATCTATTGATTTTTATTTTTTAATATTTAGATGCATATCCTGATCTTGATTTAACACATTTTGGTGAAGAACGTCATGGATTCTATGATATTATTTCAGCTTCATCATTACCTGTAATGATTGATGCTGATGATTGTTACGGTGATGTCAAAAATGTTACACGAACAATTCGAGGATATGAAGCACTTGGAGCATCAGCTTTATTTTTTGAAGACCAACAAGCTCCGAAACGATGTGGTCATTTAAAAGGTTCAATCTTAAAATTATTAAGAATAGTTTTATATAGAATATTTTTCTAGGTAAACGACTTATATCTACTAAAGCTATGGTATGGAAAATTCGTGCAGCTTTAGCAGCACGTTCAGAATCAGATTTTTTTATAATTGCTCGAACAGATGCTATCGAAGCATATGGTCTTGATGAAGCATTACGTCGAGGTGAACAATATTTACAAGCTGGTGCCGATGGTCTATTTATTGAAGGTCCACGAAGTATAGAAGATATCGAAAGTATTGGACGACATTTCAAAGGTGCATCACTTTGCGTCAACATATTTGAAGGTGGTGGTCGTACACCATGGGTTTCTCCCAATGATTTACATAAAATGGGTTTTTCAATGATTCTTTATCCAACAACAATTTTATTTCGTGTTACACATGCTATTGAACAAGCTGCAGCAGACTTAATCGCTGGAAAACAATTATCATCAAAAGATAGTGTAAATTTTAAAGCATATGAAGATATTGTTGGATTACCACAATGGAAAGAAATTGAAGAAAAATTTCATCATGAAGAACAATAAATAAATTATTTTTTGTATATATATATATTCTATCTGTTCATAGACATTAAAAATTCTGATTAAATTTCATATTATACAACATTGACATACTAGTATCATATGATAGAAAAATAAATATCAAACAAAAGGATTAAATTTTAAAAAACTTTCAGTACGAATAATGTAAAATATAATGACCTTTGTTCGATCAGACTGATGCATACTATCTATCGTCAATCGGTCAATGACTGACAACAAACATACATACGCATTTAATGACTAAAGATTTAACTTCACACCCACTGCCCTTAATCAATGTGTTATTCGCCTGTATATTTTTTTCTCTCGTTCTCTTTCTCTTCATTTGATATTTATTCTTTCGTTTACTTGTTGACACACATTAAATAACATAGTCTTATATATCTTGTGTTAGATCACGATAGAAGAATTCATATTTGATAAATAAATTTATGCCTCATAAAAAACCTTCAGCTGATCTTTATCATCCAATTGGTTATGGAGATAATGAACAACATCTTGGCACGAAAAAAGTAGTTGAAAATAAAGAAACTACAGGACCACAAGCTGGACTTGGTGGTGAAAAAGGAAGTAAAATATGTGGTCAAGCTGGTCCAGAACTACTAGGAGGTAAAATATTTATTTAAATAAGATTAGTATTTTTGGTTTTTTTTTAAATATTTTCTTTTCTTTTACAAAACAACAAAAACAGGGTCTGCAAGTACACGCATTCTTGGTCAATCTGTCGATGAACAGTTAAAGAAACCATTACCACCAAGTAGTGAACAATAAAAATTATTTGTTAATTAATATAATCTATTGTCTTTTTTTTCTCTTCTTTCTAATTTGTAAAATAAAATAATTAGAGATCTTCAATTTTATCTTGTTGTTGTTGTTGTTCAGTAGGAGATGAAGAAGTAATTTGTTCAATTATTGTTTCTTCAGGTTTACATGCTCGTTGAAGACGCTAGAAATAAATTAAACAGTAAATTATCAAAAACGATTTTATTTACCTCATCAAAATCTTTTCCAGGCGTAATTATAAGTTTATAAATAGCATAACCTGGAATACATAACATCGGAACAAATACCATAAGATACGACCATATTTTAACATTAGTTGGTAAATCATTTAAATTTATTTTCTTGATTTCAATATTACCAGAAAGAAAAGTATTCATTGAAATACAGAATATCATCTATAGAAATAGTTTAATATAGAAAAAATATTCTTGAATAAATTTACATACGAGTAGAAATATTGGACTGACAACATACCAAATTGCTCGCCAGAATAATGATGGTCGTGTACCAATCATTGCTTTAATATCATTGGAAAATCGATTGACACCTAATGGAATTTTTAATAAAGATTTTTTATATTCCGTTCGAAAAATATTACCATAAAACCATGATACAGCAATGCATTCAACGAATACGACAAGTAGAAGTGCAGGTGCAACAGCTATTTCATTCATTAAATTGACAATATAATCGCCACCATAAGTACATGTTGGTAATGCGCCTAAGTAACATATGACAAGTACAAAAAAGACAAATACAGATCGATGACGTCCAAGTAGATTCGGAAATTCATCGCATAAACCAGTAATAATTGATTCAAGACCACCAAACTAAATTTAATGCCATAGTTTTCTTTTATATTATTACTGAAAAAAATAAATACTAACTGTACTATCAATGCCTAATGTAATTAGCATGAAAAAGAAAAGTATAGCCCATAATGTTGACCAATTCATCAATGCAATTGTATGTGGATATACAATAAAAACAAGTTCCGAACCTAATATATTTTTAAATAAAACATTTTTCAAGTATTTATATGTATATATACCTTTTTCTTCAATAACTTGATCAATAGTTTTTCTTGATACATCAGCCATATGACCAAGTGTTGAAAAAACAACAAGTCCAGCTAGAACTGATGTTGCACAATTAATTGAACTTGTAATTAATGCATCTCTACATCAATAAGAAAATATATCAGTGATAGAAAAAAAATTATATTTACCGATAGCAATTATTATGAAATTTATTGTATGATGACAATGCTAAAAGAACACCAAAACCTGGTCCAAGTGAGAAAAATATTTGAGTAGCTGCTGCATTCCAAATCTATTAACATGATACAAAAAAATAAATATATAATTTAAATAAGAAAATCTCATTTTACTGAAAAACTTTTTAATAATTCCAGTCGAGGTTGCAGATAATATTGAATTCCAACTAATGAACCTGATAATGTAACACCACGGAATAATAAAATCAATAGAATAACATAGGGTGCAATAGCAGTAATCCATACTGCCTAATAAGACAAAAAACAAAATAAAGTTATACATGTGTTTATAGTATTTAATATAATATACTTTTCCAGAACTTTTAATTCCTTTCCAAAGTGCAAAATACACAAAAATAAAGACAACAAATAGACATAGAGCAAGTTCCCATTTTATTTTTCCTAAATTATTAAATGAATCAGCTTTATCTACTTCTTGAACACGTCGACTTGTGTATGAAAGAAAAAAAGAGAGAATTCATTAGCGAAACAAAATAATTTAAATTTTCTAATAAAACTTTACTAAAAATATTCTTCAGTTGAATAAACCAATCGTGTACAATTTCTTGGTTTTACTGTTGTTGTTGCTGTTGTAAATATTGATGTTGCACGAGTTGCAGTTGCATTTAAGATTTTTTTTGTTGAATTAGCTAATTGTTTCGTATATTGATATTCTTTTACATCAGCTGCAACACAACATTCTGTATTCCATGCATGATGACAACCTTTCCATGGTAATTCAGATCGAAAACCATTAAATGACATAACTAGATAATAAACAGCCCATGATATTATCGTATTATAAAACATGGCCATCATAAAATTAATTAATACTGTTGCCCAACCAACTCCTTTTACTAATGGACAAATCTACAAAGATAAATAAGTTAGAAAATTTAATATTTAAAAAAAAATTAAAACTTGCATGTGTCCAAACAGTAAATACACCTGATCGATGATATTGACCAAGAGCAAGTTCCATACTAAATAATAGAGATAACACTATATTCTGCTAGCTCATGTTCTTCACAAAACTATACATACTAGAATAATGGCAATCCACCAAATATTAAAAGAATAAAATATGGTATGAAAAATGCTCCACCACCATTCATATAAACGGCTGTTGGAAATCGCCAAACATTACCTTAAATGAAGAAAATCGAAACATTACAATCATTTCTAGAACTGGAAGAAAGTGAATTCTACCCAAATCAACAGCATAGCCAATAACAGCAAGAAGAAATTCAATTTTATGATCCCATGATTCTCGTTGTATAGTAACTTGTTGTACTGCTGGTTTCCATGAGACAGGTAATTCAATAGTAGCTTCCATTGTTGTATGTATTGATGTTCCAGTTCCATTTTCATCACATTCAACTTTAAGATTTGATGATGTTAAACGTATACGTTCTTCATCATTATTTCGATCATCACCACCAATTGTTGTTTTGATTTTACCTAAACCTTTTAATTGTTGTAAATGATAACTAAGTTCAGCATTTGTTGAACTATGTGAACGAACAGGTTTTATTTTTGTTTTTGGTACATTTATTGGTGATGTTTCAGTTAAATTTTGATAATTAAATCCACTTGATGATTCTTTTTTTAGTGTTGAAACAGTTGTATTAGGAATATTTCCGCTTGATGTAGCTCGTTTCGTATTCATATTTGTTGTTGATGTTGAACTTGAAGCAGTTGGAGGAGATTTTTTATTTGTAGGTGAAGGTACTGATGGGCGACCATGTATTATTGAACTCATTGAATCACGTCCTGAACGACGACGACTTTCACATGCAGATCGCGCACTGGCGACAGTTGTACCGATGTTAACTGTTTGAATGATTGTAGGATAACAAGAAAATAATGGGCAAATATATATGATTAGGTCTGAATACTAAGCAAAAAATACTTTTTGTAAATATAGAACTCGATAGGAACGAAAAGAACAAGAATGTAATATTTCCTGTCAGTTTGAAGAAGCCATTTCAAAATATGAGTAAATCGAGATTAGACATCTCTACTCATATTTTTCTCTATACTGTCTGTCATTACCATCTCCAAAAGACGAGATGGATTTCCTTCTTCTTCTTTTTTGGTTTAAAGATAATGTTCGTATTCATATTGTATGTTATTCGTAATTAACATTTGTTTCTCTCTCATTGTCTTGCCTATCTGTCGTTTCTTTTTTTATTCCTCGTTAATATTCTAGTTGTCACTGAAGCGAAGTGATTTGCCTTTTTGATTAGACAGGCAAATTCGAATACATTGTCTCGGTTTCTTATTTTATAATGGAAAAATGAGCTAAAACAGAATATGTGATTTGATATCATTGTATGTCCATCTTGTTTTCTTATAACCTTGAATAAGAGAAAAAAAAATACAACATAATAGAAGTCCTAGAATGAATATTATTTCTTTTTCGATTTTTTGCTTCCTGCTGCTTTGCCTTTGCCAGTTTTTTTTGAACCTTTCGGTTCACTGCCAGGTGCAAATGTAATAATTTCCACACGTTTTCCTTGACATTTCGTCTAAAACCAATATTTTAAAGTAAAAAAAAAACACGATTTCGATTTAATATAAATTTCACCTGATTACATTTACGACAATGATCGCCTTGTGTCATCAATCCATTAAAATCACCACGAAGACATTCAGAACAAAAACGTGTACCACAAAATTTACACATGTATGTCTGTAAAATAAGAAAACTATCTAAGAAGATTAAACAATAATCGATCTTCTTACAGATTCAAAATTATCGCAACCCCATCGACACATTGTAGAAAATAATGACGATCTGTTATTTTGTTTCTTTATGATTTCAACACACTACCTCCCACCTGTCAGTTTTGCCGATAAGACAAGAAAAAATATGCTATTCAACATTTCTTTTATTTCAGTTTTTTTTTTTCGTTCGACATCAATGTTATTTTTTCATGGCCAGAACACAAAAAGAAAAACGAACAATGAGAAATAAGGAAGAATACATCAACAAAGCTTTTAGTGAACTTGAAATATTAGATTTAATAATACGAAAAAAGAAAGTGTCTAATATTTGTCAAAAAAAATCTATGATAGAATTGAAGAGATACTTCAATAAAGTATATTCATATTATGATTTTTCTCTTTTTGCATATGAAAGCAATCAATTTGATGGTGAAAAAATATAACATATATTTGCAATGCTTATGTTCTTTACTGAAAGTCAAATAGTTCTTATAATCTGGTCAAGAGACTATAGATTTTAAAATTTCTCTGCCCGCTAATTCTATGGAGAACATTATAATTTTAATTAAAAAATCTAATTAAAGCAAAAACTCTAATTTCGAAAAAAAATATGATAAATATAAAAATTTATGGTAAATTTATAGATGTCGCTAGTATTTTTATTTTGTATAACAGACAGTTAACATAGAGGTTTATATATTTCATATATGGCTAATATCCGATACAAGGTTGTTGTTTTTTTTTCTTCTTTTATCATTCATTCTATTTTTTTGAAATCATCAACGAACTCATGTAGTTTTTTTTACTCAAAAATTTTCGAATCATATTATATTTCTATTTGGTTTTTTTCTAGAAAATAATAACTTGTGTATGGTTTAATTCGCTTGTTTGATAGAACGATTACGTATGATAGGAAAAATATATGTCACATGAAACTTATTTTTGTTTTATTTATCAATAGAATTAAATCAATAATACAACGATGTCTTCAAAAACTAGCAATACAAGTATACGTCCAACTGTGGTTGTTGCTTCTTCATCGACATCGAAAGGTAAAATAATACCTATAAGTTTCTATTTGTATAAAAATGGAAAGAACATCGGATTTGTATTCTATTTTTTTCTTTTGGGGGAGAATTAATTTTCATCTCTCTATTTGACAATTGAAGTTTTATACCGATGTTGTTGATGCCTGCTCTATTCTAGTGATCATGTTTGAAAAAAAGAAGGTAATATGCCTTTTTCTCTTCTCGTTCTTTTTTCTCTTTCTCTGTTCATAAACATACAGAAGAAGATGAAGAAGACAGTTGAGATTTCTTATATACCGTAAGTGTAATATATTTCAAAAACAAAAACGAAATAAAATAAGATATTAGGATGATGATGCTTGGCGTGTAAAACGAACATAAAAAAAATATACAGGCTGGAGGAGAGAGAGATCTACAATAGTCATATATTTTCTTCATTTTTTCTGTTCATGTTGTTCTTGTTGTTGTTGTTGTTCGTGAGTGTTGTGCGCGCGTAGATTTGCCCAACAAAACAGCAAAAACAACAGATTAATCAACATTTAATAATAATAAAAAAAAAACAGAACTATTAATTCTACTATACTAACATTAAATAACTATTTCACATTTATTTTGTGTGTATATTCTATCACTTATTTGTTGGTCTTCTTTGCATGTTTCTATATATTTATCTATCTATGCTTTATTGACTCGCATTGCTGCTGCTGCTTTTTATCATTGCTTACTTTGAACACGATGTGATTGTGCATGCTAAGATGTTTATATATATACATATTCTGTTTTTGTTTTCTATTCATGGATTCAACCATCATCATCATCATCATCTTCTTCCACAATGGTCAATTGTCAAATATGTTGTACAGCAGATCAGTAACTGCCTCCAAATTCCTTTACTGACAAAAAAAAAGATCTACCATGCTTCTTCTTTCCCTAATGCTTTTTGTGAATTTGTGTGTACATTGATATGCTTTGCTCATTGGATAGGCAAGTTTTGTGAGGTACATTATATATAAAGCTTTAAATTATCAACAGAAAATTCAATACGAGCAAAAGACATATTTTCTTTCTCTATTCTCTTATTATAGGAAAGAAGTATAAAGATAAATATTCTTTTATAAATATATCGGTTGGTTATAATTATATTGACAACATATATTGTATCATATTTGCTTCTTAATTTTTATTTTTGCATGATTGCTTGATTTTATTTTTCTTTAATGCACCAATATATAATTTACTTAGTTTTAATATTTTGATTACGTTATTTTGCTGCACTACATCACATATAGCCTTCTTTGAATAAAAAAAAAACAACACACATTTTTTAATTTAAAAATTCGAAATGATCAATCCTCTTATTTTTTTTACCAACTTTAGTCTTTGAACATATACATATTCAAGAGGTAAAAATCATTATTTTTTATAAATAATATTTTTTTTTTACTTTTTCTTTATACAAAAAAATAAAAAAAAGTAAAAATAAAACTAAACGAAATTTATTTTACACTATTCTTTTGACTTTCTTTGTTGTGATATGTTTTCTTATTTTGTTTGATTCTCTCCTATCGCTAATTCTCTATGCTTATAGCCAGCAGATTATACTGACCATAAAAAAGCCCGATAAAAAACCAAAACGGTGAGGTAATCGTGTTTTATTTCTGCACTGTAATTAAAAATACAGTAAATTACTAACATAATAATATTAAATCAATATGCACGTTAACCTATTGTCCTCTAGCTTGCTTTATTATTTGCATGTATAATATCTTCTTGTTTTATTTTTATTTCTTCTCGTAATATTAAATTTAAAAAACCAGAAAAAAAAGAATTCTTTTCATATCTCTCTCTGTCAAGTGTGTTTGTGTGTTATTTATATTTTATAGTCGATTGTCGTGCTCTGTTTTGTATATTTTCTTTTGTTTTTCAGGAGGATAAAAAAAACGAGGTATTTTTTTTGTCTATATATCTATATTATATATATATATCTCTCTCTTCTCTGTGCCATAACACAATGCATTTTTTTTAGTCTAGCTAAAACTGTATGCTCGCGCAACTATTTTCCCCAATCGATTCATATTGGATCTTATATAAAAAAACAAACTATTATAGAGAATATTTATTTACTTGTTTTGTTTGATTTATTTTTCAATAGAATCATCACCAACAACAAATGATAAAGTATCAAAAAAATCGAAAAATGTAAGTCACATAATTTTATCTAAAATATTTTCAGTTAGTTTGAGAAAAAACATGATGTAAAGAGTTTAGTATTTTCTTAAATATTCTTTTTTTTCTAAATTTGTACTCAATTAAAGGTCTATGGCAAGTAGATGTGTTGTTGTTTTTTTGTTAATTGAACATATTTATAACACATATTTTATATTTTATTTAGAGTTCGAAATCAAATTCTAAAAACCATGAAGGTAAAAAGTCTATTTATACAAAAAAAAATTCTTTAATGTTTTTTTGTTTAGAAAAATCTCGAAAACGTAAAAAGAAACAGCATAAATCAAAGAAAAACCAAGATGAAAAACATCATACAAATTCAGATGCTCCTCCACTTCCGCCACCTGAGGAAAAAATATCTCAACCACCACCACCACCGCCACCGCCACTTCCAACTTCAAATTTATACGATGAACTTGATGAAAAAATAACGACAAGTAGTCCAATTGTAAAAACGAATTTACCCTTATCACATTCGCCACCACCTGTTATGCCAACCATCTTACGTCAAGGTTCACGTTCACGTTTGACAGCTAAAGAACAACTTGTTCCATCTTCTGTAATACGAACAACGAAACAAATCAATATTACTAATGAAAATAATAAACTTTCGCCAACATCAACAACAAATCCTAATCCAACAGAAGATTTAGCAACAAAACAATTTGAAGAACAATTAGCATTACTGGATGCAACATCATCAAAATTAACAATGAATAATTGGGATCAATCAAGTGGTGGAAGTGAAGAAGATGAACAAATTGAACGTATATGTCGAATGAATAATACAGGAAGTATATCAGGACCTATACAATTTAAATTTAATCGTACACAAAATCTTCCATTAAAAACTTCGCCTGTATCCAATGATGTTGGAAATAATGAAGATGAAACAGTTCCAACAATGGCTTCAACAAAAAAGAAACGTTTACATAAACCAAATGATCCACCAAATCACTCACATTCATCATCATCAGGTGATGAAAATGAGAAAAACAACAGTCGAATAAAAAAACCAAAAATATCAGAAAGTATGTTAACATTTCTAGAACCTATCATTTTTGTTTTCATTACTTATTTTAATATTTTAAAGAAAAACAAATGTTTTTCAACATATATGAAATTAAAACTGAGATATTTTTAAGAAAAATTTATATACAGACATTATTATTATTTGTCTAGCTTTGCTTTACTGCTCTCACTTCTCTATAGGCTACATTCGACGAATTTATATTTGTTAAGGCAAGAGATCTCATATTATTTTCCTTTCTTCTTTATCTATTGCTATTTACGATGTGATATAATGTATTATTTTGTCGCTCATATTACCGCTCTAGTAACTGAGCTCTTTGCTTTTCTGACGCATGTCAAGCCAAATCCATCTTAAACACATACATATATGTATATATATATATATACACGCAAGCGCCCATTTTGTATTTCATCATTTTTTTCGATCTAAACTTTAACTTTAAAAGATGAGATAAAATATAAATTCATATTGGTTTTAATTTTCTTAGGCGATGCAACTGAATCAACGGCAGCAACAACAACGACAATAGTTGAATTGCCAGCAACGTCAACAACAACAACAACAGTATCAATAATACCTGATGAAAATATCAAACCAGAAATAATTAAAAATGAAGAACCTGTTGCTTCAACAACTAATGAAAAAAAATCAGATGAAAAAAATGGTGATGGTGATGATGATAAAGAATCTCGATCAACATCAGCATCATCATCAAGGCGAAGACGACATAGTAGTCGTCGAAGACATAGACGTCGTCGTCGTCGTTCATCATCATCAAGTTCACGATCTTCTTATTCAAGTACATCTTCTGACAGTTCTCGTTCATCATCAAGTCGTTCACATCGAAGACGTCGACGTCGACGATCACGTTAGTTTTTTTTCTTTTTTAATCTAGAAAAAATTATTTGTTGTTTAGGTTCATCATCACATTCATCATCAAGTTCAAGTGATAATCGTGGACGTCATAGTAGTCGAAGTAGTCGTCGTTCATCTCGTTCGTATTCTCGAGGTCGTTCATCTAGTTCACGAAGTTCTCGTTCATCAACATCATCACGTAGTTCACATAGTCGATCAAGATCACGAAGTCGTAATAGAAAATCTTCTCGACGTTCCAATCGTCATCATCATCAACAGCAATCAAATAATAATGGAAAAGGAGGACGTGGTAATGGTGGTGGTGCGCCACGCCGTGGTCGAGGTGCACGAAATGGTGCACGTGGTCGTCGTGCTCAATCAAACGACAATTTACATCGGTCATCACCCAATCGTAATGGTAATAAATATAATTCAACATTAGGTGCGGGTGGTCGAAAACTACCGAATAATAAACAACCACGAGTTCTTATTGCTGCAAAACCAAAATCTACAACTAATGAAGAAACTATTGAAGAAACAACTGCAACATCAACTACAATAATACCAAATGAAGAAATTAAAACTGAACCAATTATTATTACAACAAATCAAAATCAACAACGTCCTATGGGACAAAAGAAAAATATGAAAGCAAAAAATAAACTACAAACACCTGCATATTCATTGAAAAAAGAAGAAAATGAAGATATGGATCATGGTGATGGTGAACCAATGATTGGACCAAAATTACCACCAGAATTTGAAGTAAATAAGTTTTTAACAGAATTCATTTTTTTAAAATTAAGTGATTTATTTTAGAAAAAAATTAATAAAGAACATTCATTTACTCCGCCAGATATGGATGATCCAGAAAATATGGAAATGCTCAATGATTTAAAAGTATTATTTTCAGTTAGAAAAAAAAACAACATTATGCTATTAAATAATTCTTTTAGTATCGTGCGGAAATTCATGCAGCTAAAAATCATGGTTTAATTAGTGAAATGCAAGCACAACAGTTAATTGAAGAACGTGAAACTCAAAAACAATTAGCTGAACTTCCACTTATTCAGATGCCTATTATCTCATCACCGACAATTTCTGTAAGCGAAAATTAATTTCTTTATAATTGAAATTTGATTATCATTTTTATCTTTAGTCGATGGGTCCATTTCTTGTTGCAGCACCAAGTCCTGTGATAACAAATTATCATCAACTTCAAATGGCATCTACAGCCAATCAACAGATAGCAACGAATTCTGAAATGTCTTCCCTTACATTCGAACAGCAACAACAACAACAACAACAGCAGCAGCAGCAACAACAACAGCAGCAACAGCAGCAACTGCAACAGCAACAGTCAATGTCACCTAATTCAGCAGCGTCAAGTGGTGGTGAAAGTTGTTCAACACCTGGTCATACAACACCAGGTGGATCTACAACTGTTCTTACACAAGACGGACAACAAATGATGATTCAAACAGCTGCAAATGTGAATCCACAATTAGTACAAATAGCTCAACCATCACAACAATTGTATATGCCAATGCAAACTGCTGTTCAGCAACCACGTGTTGTAGCTATGCGAACGCCTCAAGGTAATTCCCTATCTAAATAATATCATTATTTATTTGATTTTAATTATCTAGGTGGTATTCAACATTTTATTGAATATCCAACTGCTCAATTATTACAAGCACAACAGCAACAACAACAACAACAACCTCAATTTATTCAACATAATGGACAACTTGTACAAGTTATTCGACAACCTATGGCTTATTCATCATCCGCTTTAATGCAACAAGTACAACTGCAACAACAACAACAACAACAGCAACTATTTGCTGCTCAAATTCAAGCTCAACAATTAGCTGCCATGCAACAATCAGGTGGTGCTATATTTTTGCAAAATTCAGCTGGACAACTTGTACTCGCTCAACAAAATCCACAAGCAATGCGTGTTGTTCAAATTCCTTATGTACCTAAATGAAAAGATAAATCATACATCAACAAGGGACTGTGATACACATCCCAAAATCTTCTAATATAAAATAAAATAAAAATGCATGCTTTTGCTTTGTTTTAGTCATCATGTGTATAATTATTTATTCTTTGTTTCTTTCTTTCTTTCTTTAATTGTATGTCTTGCGAGCCCATTCCGGTGATAGAAAATTTCAACGTATGATTTATTTGTTCCATCTAATGATTTATTAAATCATATATAATATTACAGATTTAGACGCTATTCTTCTGTATGTGATTGAAAAGAAAAGTAGGCAAACAAAAAACAATTTAATTCTGTTACTATTTCTTTGTAAGATATTATCCCATTTATCATTTTCTATGTTCATGTTTTTCTTTCTCTCTTCTGTTTTGTTCTCTACAAATAGTGTACTTGCGTTGTTGTTTTCTTTTTTTTTCTTTATTTGTCTATCTATTTTTTTGCATACAATAAACTAGATAAAAACATCTTTACAAAGATCACTGTTTGTCTTTTAGATGATAATTGATAATGAGTTTTATCAAACTCATCAACGAAGAGGAGGCATATTTATATGTATTACAGCGTTTGCGAGAACTGTCGGATTATTAACACTTATTGGTTAGTTTCGACTAGTGAAAAATAGAATAAATCCAGTTCTCAATATATATTAAGGTCTCGGCTTTGTCACATATTTGGAATGGATAGGAGAAGGTTCATTAAATTTTCGAATATATATCACGTATGTCATTTGATTGATTATAGAACAAGGATTTGTAAAAACTTTATTATAGAATTGTAACATTTATCGTTGCTTATTTGGAACTACTTTGGATATTTGATAAATTTCTTACTTGTTGTATCGATTGTTTTCGGTAAAAAAAATTTATAGTAGCAATATGGAAAATTATAAAAAAAAAAATAAGAGCTATTTATTGGTGATGGTTTTTTATTTAAATGCATGCTAATCATTTTTGCCGAGTAAATCACAGTTTTTATCTATTATGTTGATTATATATTTGAAAATATTCTTTTGGTTATTACATAAATTTAGAAGTGAAACATGTTTCTATTGGATATGTTGTATTGCGATTGACAATTGGGTGAGAACAATGATTTATATAGGTTTAGCATTACCATTTCTTATACCACCATGGCATTTGTCAACTATTCGAATTGATTTACACGTTGTTGGTAAGAAAATAAATCTACAATGTTTTATAAATAACTATTTGTTTTTTCGTTATTAGGTACTTTACTCATTATTACTGGTATTTTATATTTTATAAAAACATTTAAATATAAAGAGAATAATCCGGATGAAATAAATGAAGATACTACTATTCTCAGTGCATCGAATTCATTTTCTCAACCATCAGTTTCAACACAAACAGTAACAACTATGGGAATTAATAGTGATCAAGATATGAAACCATAAATATATACATATCATCTAGTTTTTGTTTTTGTTTAATTATATAAAATCAGGGAAAAGGGTTTATTTTTTTTTTGGATATAAAGAATATTTATTTTATTTTTGTTGCAGATGTCTTTATTAACAAAAACTTTTTTAAGTTCATTTCGACCGATTTTCGTTCGTACTGTTCAAACAAGTTCAAAAGATAAAATAGAAAGTTCGAAGAAAACTGATGAAACATTTCTCAATGATGAAATTGGTGAACATGATGATAAAGCAGAGACAGAATTATCAACAGGTCGTGAACGATCATTAAATCGTATTCAATTAATAGGTCGAGTCGGTGCTGATCCAAAAGTTGGTGGAACACAACGTAATAAAGTTGTAACATTTAATTTAGCAACAAATGAATATGCTGGAACAAGTACTGAAAATGGTGAAGTTAAACAACGTGTTGATTGGCATCGTATTGCTGTATTTCAACCACGTTTATTAGATAATGCTGAGAAATATGTTCGTCAAGGTGATAGAATCTATGTTCAAGGTCGTCTTCATCACAATATGATTCGTGATAAGAAAACTGGTCAAGATCGTTATGTAGCAAGTATTATTGCTGATGATATGATATTTTTGACAAAAAGATAGTTATCCATTGTTTTTTGTTATTTTTCTCGTGCAGATATAAAAAAAAGTCAAGATCATTACCACCCGGTGATTTCTTTTGCTCTCTCTTCCTTTTTTTGTTATGAAAAAATAAACTGATACATATTTCTACTTGAAGATTTCTTTTTTTCTGCAATTAAAAATGATTGATTTTGCTGAGATTTTACCTTATATATTTATGTGCATTGGATTTATTACAATGGTTCTTGTTGCCAGGTATTTTGAAATCATGAAAACAAAAAATATTCGTATTATTAATTTCTTTTCTTTTCGTTTTACATATATCGGCGCGATGTTTTCACAGATGAGAGAATTAATATAACAATTCCTCAATCAGCACAAAATATACCTGTTGATCGAATTGATAGTTTATATACAATAAATATCGAAGAAAATCGATCAACATTAAAAGGTAGAGAAAATTTAATTGAGATTTGATTTTAATACTTTCGAAAGATTTCTTAGATGGTGTCTATATTCGTTTGCATACAGATATTCATTGTCAATTACGTGCATTTTGGTTTGTAAATATTCAACGTTTTTATAAAGAATTAGATTCAAGAGATTTTCGATTATCTCTCTATGACAATCGATTTTTGAAAGATAATTGTGTACATCAAGAAACATTTAAGTAGGTTTATTAATCAATAAATAAAATAAATATTAAATTTGTTTAGTTTTGAAACGTCTGGTGATTATGTTCAACGTATAGAATTTTCTGATGCAGAAAATTATTTAATAAATAATAATGAAACACGTCGAGAATATCCACTTGTTCTTATAGTTCATAGTTTAATTACTGAAAATTCTGAAGAATTTTTCCAATTAGTAAATTATTGAATACAAAAATATACATTTATATACATATATTTCTTTTTAGCCAATTCAAGTAGCTACTCTACATGTAAAATCATCAATACCTACAGACCCTTCGACCAAATTTATTCTACGAATATCTAAATTAGCTGATGGACGATCATTAGTCTTACAAGTAAATATTTATATTTAATTCTTTTATCATTTCCAATAATCTCTATTTAATAGGATATATTTACACCAGGTGCATTTCATTCTGATAATACATGTGCTGTTTGTTTAACTGAACCTGTAACTCATGTTTTATTACCTTGTAAACATGCATGTGTATGTCGAAATTGTTTTAGTCTCATTGATAAATGTCCTGTATGTCAAAGATTTGTAACATCGTATTTTCAAATATAAATAAAATATTCAGATCATTAACTATAAGTATCTTTGTTATTCTATGATATAGGATAATAATCAATAAAATAAGCTTAAAATATTTAAAGTTTATTATTAAGTTCAAATGCATGCCTAACTAATAGTATATCTATGTTTGCGTGTGACATGCAACTAAGATATATTTAATTGACATAAGACTAAATTTAATCTCTCACATGTATAAGAGTAGATTTAACAAAATAAATTGAATGACTATTATTATCTATCTATATAACTCTACAACTAAAGCAATCATTCATATTAGAAATTTAATTTTCTTCTTTAAATTTATTATGTATGAATATAAAAATCGATTAAGAATTCATTTCTCGACTATATATGTAGAGAAAATCTCAATTACGACAATATCGAATGCGCGTGTTGATTGTCTCTTGAAAAAAAATGGAAAAAAATAGTGTATGTGGTGTGAGTGGGAGAATGTATTCTCAATGTCTGATTAGTTTTTTATGATTTTGGAATTTTATTTTCTCATTATTTACTTTTTGTTAATATCTCTTCATTAAACGATAAATAATTACATAATAATTTATTGATATATGTATTAATAGTCAAAATGCGTAGGCATATTTGACAAATATCTTGATTTCTTTTTTTTTTTGAGCTATTGACATATGAACGATGAAGAGGATAAAAGGAAGAGAGAGAAAATAAGAGACTACTCATTCATTTCACAATTGTTATTCTCTATCTTACAAATCTTAACGTTCGTTCACAAAGATTAACAGTCTATATACAAGACAATCATCCAATATGCAAGAATACGTTCGCTTTGTATTTTTACTTCTTATTTCTTTACTCGTTTTATTTAGTAAGTCATTATTATCATTATCATCCATAAATATTTATTTTGTTTATGTATATATTTAGGTCTTGTACAATGTCGTAGTGTTTTTACAGACACAGTCGACCGTGATAAAAGATCAATAAATAATGTTAATTATTCAAGTTTGTGCATGTTCCGAAAAAGTCGTCTATGTAATCGTAAGTTTTTAATTAAATATTATAGATTCGATGAATTTAATATTGAGTGTTTAGATTTACGCGAATTAAGTATGGGAAAATCAGATCAAACAGGGTAAATAAAAACCATCAAACTAAAGAGATTTACTTATTTTTTGTTTTATAGAAATGATCAAGAACTGTGGAAACGTGGCGTTAGTCATTTCTACAGTAATTGGTAGAAATAAAACATTATCATCTAATCGTTATTAATTTGTAATTAACGATTTTGAATAAAATTGAAGTATATATAAATTAAAAAGTAACAAAGAGAATTATTTTATGCATGGAAACAAATATGATATTATCTAATAAACTAATACTTCATTGCCTTATATTGTTCTTCTTTTTTTTGTTTCATTTTTCTCACTCAATATGTCTTAACAAAACAGATAATTATTATTATTCTACTAAGAAAAATATTTAAGAAAAAAAGGATCGAACTTTCTAGACGCATTAAAAACACACATATATAGTACTTGATAAAAATTTACCATTAGCATATATATACTCATTAATCATCGTCCTTCAATGGTCATAATTGAGAAAAAAAAATGAGTAGATATAATGTCCTTCACATATAATCAATAATATAAATCAGATTGATTGACATGACAACTACATTAAAGAACGAAAAGCTACGTTTTTATTCTGTATACATAAATATTAATAAAATAAAAAATCAATGGGTAATGATACAAGTAGTCAAAAATCTTCTCTTCGTATTTCAAAGTCAAATCTTATTCAAAAATTTACTGGATCTTCTTATGTGAATAGAGAAGATGTAACATTAATTTGGTTAGATAAAACTATTGATACAACACGAACAACATTACGTGAAATGACTGATTATGTTCTACTTTATACTGAAATTGAACCATGCATAACATATATTCGTTCAATAACTAATGAACGTATATTTTTGATTGTATCTGGTGATTATGCTGAATTATGTCTTAGTGAAATTCATGATTTACCACAAATTGATATAATATTTATTTTTTGTATGAATTTATCATCAATTGATAAAGATAAGTTAGTTGATATGAATTCCTATACGAAAATTATTGATATATTTGATAATGAAGATAAAATAATACAATCAATACGAGAAGAATTAACTGATTTACAAAAACGATTATTAACATTTAGTATTTATGATAAACAAACATCAATAAAAGATTTATCAAAAGAATCCGCATTATTTCTTTGGTTTCAATTATTTAAAGATATTATTTTTCAATTACCAAAATCGGAAGAAAATAAATATGAAATGATTGAACAATGTCGACAATATTATCATGGAAATCAAGAAGAACTTACAAATATTGAAAAATTTGCTCAAACATATACAGAACAAGATGCAATACATTGGTATACGAAACAATGTTTTATTTCTCGTTTATGTAATAAAGCGTTACGAACGCAAGATATTGAATTATTATATATATTTCGGTATTATATTCAAGATTTACATAAGCGTTTATCTGTTGAACATCAATCATTCCGAAATACAGAGTTAAACCCACCAATATTAACATTATATCGTGGTTTAAAATTAACTCATGATGATATAACTCATTTTCAATCGAATATTGATTCATTAGTATTAATGAATGGGTTTTTCTTTACAACACGTAATTATAATCTAGAATTAGAATCTGCATTAAAATTGTCAAAACATTCTGTTAATATTTTACCAACATTATTAATAATTCAAGTGAATGCACAACTCGATCATGTTATATTTGCAAAAATATCATCACAAATTAATAATTCAAATGAAGATGAAATTTTATTTGATATTGATTGTGCATTTAAAATACATGAAGTTTATTTTAATAATAAAAAAAATGTATGGATTATAACGATGAGTTTAACAAATGAAAATCGACTTATTGCTGGAAAATATATTGAAGCAAATAAACGTGAAATAGAACAAGGAAATGTTTTACTTATATTTGGTTTATTATTAACTGAAATGGAAAAATATCAACAAGCACAAATTTATTATGAAAAATTACTTTTAACAAATATAATTGATGATAAAGCAGCATTATATACAAATACGGGTCGTATTAAATTTCAACAAGGTTTATTTAATGAAGCCGTTAAAGATTTTCATAACGTTTATGATATTCAACTAGAACAAAAACCAAAAAATTATTTTAATTTAGCACGAACAATGAATACACTTGGATTAATTTATATTGAAGAAAAAAATTATGACCTAGCACTTGATTATCATTTTGATGTTCTTAAAACATATAAACAACATATTGGAATATCCGAATTATTATTAGCAAATAGTAATGATTCCATTGGTATTATATTTACACATAAACATGATTATGATCAAGCATTAAAATATTTATTTCGTGCAATGAAACTTTATGAAAAATATTTACCAAATAAAGATCATCCAACAATGGCAACAAATTATAATAATATCGGTTTAGTATTTTATTATACAAAACAACATGGTCAAGCATTAGAATATTGTTTAGAAGCATTAACAATACGTGAAAAAGTTTTACCAATAACTCATACACATATTGCTGATAGTTATAATAATGTTGCACTTGTTTATCATCATTTATTTGAATATGATAAAGCATTTCATTTATTTCAACGTTCATTACAAATCTATGAGAATGATTATAATCAAAAAATGAGGATACCAATATGTTTAAATAATATTGGATTATTATATTTAGATCAATATAAATATGATGAAGCAATTGAATATTATTTAAAAGCATTAGATATATATATTAATGAAAATGATGAACAACAATTTCAAGAAGAACTTTGTTTTACACTTAATAATTTAGGTGTTGCATATGAAATGAAATGTGATTATGATAATGCATTGAAATATTATGAACTCGTATTAGAAGAACAACGAGAAGATTCAGAAAAATTTGGTAGATTATTAGTCAAAATAGGAAATATTTATCATAAAAAAGGCGACAATGATCAAGCATTAAATTATTATGATAATGCTCTTAATAGAAGTCAAAATTATTCATCGGATCTTCTATCGTCTATTCTTATGTCTATGGGTATTATTTATCATCGACAACGTCAATATGATTTATCACTTGACACATATAAACGTGTTGTATCGATACATAAACATGATCAATTAAATCATGAACTTGATTTAGCATGGACATATAATAACATTGGTTGTCTATATGATGACATGGGTGATATGAAACGAGCACTTCGATATCAACAAAAAGCGTATGATATACGACGACAATTTTTACAATCAACACATCCTGATTTAGCAATAAGTTTAAATAATTTAGGACGTATTCATCAAACATTAGCTCATCGTTCAGGTGGAAATCCATTTGAATGTGAACAAGCATTACAAAATTATAAAGCTGCACTACATATTCGACGAAAATCTTTACCTATGGATCATCCTGATTTAGCAATATCTTATTATAATCTTGCATTAATACATGTTGATCAACAAGAATATGAACAAGCATATAGTGAAATACAAAAAGCATTGAAAATACAAACAAAAAAACTGCCTGCTGATCATCCGGATTTAGAACAGACATTAAAACTTGAAAGACAAGTTAAAATATTGCTTGATTATCGTATGAGTCTTGCAAGATATAGATGAAAATAGATAGCTATAGAATGTTTTTTATTTATTATCATTTTTTGGCGGTAACATTGTATTTAATTGTGCATCGACGGACTGACCAAGAATTCGTGTACTTGCTGAACCTTAAATGAAAAAGAAAGAAAGATGAATAGAGAATGTTATATATAAAAAAAATAGTTTGTTTAAATAGTAAAACAACTAACTAACTTACCACCTAAAATTTCTGGTCCACCTTGACCGGATATATGACTATCTGGTTGACCATATGTACCAGCTTGTGGTGGTAAATTGCTTCCAGATGAATTAGTATCTGATTTATCGATATGTTGTTCTCCTGTATTGTAACCGACTATTATAATAAATATAAATATAATTCGTGATCATTAAGTCTTTTCGAAAAAGAAAAAAAAAAGATAATCTTTATCTATCTTTTTTTTTTCTATAAAATCTCTATTCATAATTTTATAGATTACTTTAGATAAAAAAAATTAAACATTACTTGGATGAACGACATCAGTTTTGTTATTTGACATATCTTCTTTAAATAATCTGCAATCAAATTACAGTTGTTATTATCTTCTTTATTCAAAAATTTTCAAATAAAAAAATAAGAACTGACTGAGCAAATAAAAAAGCAGATATAACACGTGAGAAAAATATTAAAAAAAAATGAAAGATAATAGATGTCCTTGTTTTATCATCAGAGTATGATATATTCAAAAAGCTTCAATAGATTCATTCATCATAAATCATTAATATAATAGCATCATGAGCACAAACTCGACCAAGTCATGACATTCTTCATTTATAAAATTTACATAAAATAATAAATAAATAAAAAAGATTTTTAAGTGCCTATGTTTAACATACGTTAATGGTTCTTTATTTCTCATTATTTCAATTGCGCAGTCTGATATATTTTTACATTTTTTCAGCTTCAAAATTTTCTATACATGTTTTAATAACATCAAGATGATCTGTTACTAAAAATAACTGTTATTAGTACTGGAATGGGTTCTTTTGACCTTTTAATCTTTCCAATATCAAAAAAAAAATCTAATCGCTAAACTTGATCTCTATTCAAGCATTGTTGCTATTAAACCTTAATAAGTATCTCAGATATCTATTATAGAAGAAAAATTAAAATTCTTCAAAAGTATCAAATATTATATTTTTTTGCTATTTCACACAACTAGTTCTATTGGGAATGTTATACAGATGTCAATGTCATTCGTAAAACTACCTTGAATATTAATAATGAAATCAATTTTAATATTTGATAAGATACAATCAATATCTTGTTCTCATAGTGGATTAATGAAAAAAATATCATCGTATTCGATTCATGTGTGATTTTTTAAAATCTATATAACATGCAAAGAAATGAACAATGTGACTATCGTGTTGTTTATTACATATCATCGTTAATGAGAAATATAATATGTATATATATCTATGTCGACAAGATTAACACACCAAAGATTCGATAAGATATGAAAAATTGGTCGCGACAAAAACATAATTATATAGATCATTATGTATGTGTATATATATATTCTATTGGTTAAGCTTTGACATATAAACCTATTATTATGACAGCACTGAAAATCGATACCTTGATTCTCTAATAAAATCTGAATAGCAATTGAGTTCGATAACAAATAAAGAATTTTTCTGTAAACATTTTATTACTTGAACCTAATAATTATATTAGTATTTACAAGTTTTCTTCTGTTTTTTTTTGTTCGATGTAAATTACATTTCGTATGTCAAAAATAGTCTATCATCCCAAATGAATTGACGAGAGAGTATGACAACATATGTATATGCTCGAGCAACGAACTAGAAAAAGCTTTTTTTTCCTTTAATCATTTTTCAGGACGGCATTCTATTGATGAATGAACATCATAGACCTATGATGTGTACTCGAATAGACTAGAGAGAAAAAAAATCGAGAATAACTCAGCTGTGTTCGTGTCTCTTTGTTTGCATGAGCAAAAAAACGAGAAAAAAAAGAGGAGCTAGAGTTTTGTAATATAAAAATATGGTGAATATGTTCGCATCATCGAAGGAAGTTTCTTTTACTCTCCGACTCTCCACATAATTGTTACTGTCGGCTTCGACGGTCTATGATTATTTTGTTTCAACAACATATATATAATATGGAAAAGCATAGAAAGAGAAAAAAAAAAGAAGAAAAAAAAAGGAGAAAACCTGATGACTAGTTACTGTAGCTAAAATCGAAGACATTAGTCGCTTGTCTATTTTTCTGCATTTTCGGAGATATTCATAGAAAGAAAATCACTAAATACAATAGCTACTTGAGCTTGTGAGAGAGTTTTTTAAAATAATAAACAAAGATATTTAATATTTTTAACAAAATGTTTATCTGGGGGTTTATTGTATTGATCGGTAGGTTGTAAATAATTAATATTCGATATTTTCTCTTATTTGAAAATAGGATATTTCTCCTTGAATATTGTTTATTGTCAAGATAATGCGGCATTAACAGAGCCTGAACCACGTCAAAATCTTGTTGAAACGGTCACTGCAACTATTGAAGTTATTGATAATCCTTCACCAATAGCTATTAATGCTACAAATACATTAGTCGAGAAACAAGAAGTAGTTACGGAAGCTGTTCCAACAACTACTCCAATACCAGAAGTATTCTCTTGTTATGAATGTACAAATTGCAGTTTAAAATCTAATTTACCTACTATTATTTGTGGCGAAGGCATTAATCAGTGCTATGTAAATTTATTTTATAGTTTTATCAATATATATTGTTTTTGATTATTTATTTCTATAGAAAATAGAACAACATATTGGCAATAGCAGTCTCATGATACATCGTGGTTGTTCAACAACAAAAGACCAATGTATAGCACCTATGAGTGGTCAATCAAATTTAGTCGAAAGTACAACATGCTGTCCAACCCCTAAATGTAATCAAGCAACTCAATTTCTACCATTGTTATTTCTTTCAACATTATCTCTATTCACTATTCTGATTAATATCCTTAATATCTAAAGAGAAAATCCTTTCTCATTTTCATTATGTTCATTTTAGAAAAAAACCTAGTTTTTCTCATTAGACACACTTCCTTTTATAACATCTTGTCAATCATATGCATGTAGTATAGATTAAATAACACATAAAGAAAAAGAGGAGAGTGACATTCTATTTCGGTATTTTATTTTATTCACCTATTTTATCGCTTGTTGTTCATGTAACTAGTTTCTAGATATTCTTCTTTTTATGTATTGTTTAACAATAATAAAAAAAGATTCTTTTTTTTTTCTTTATAAACAATAATTAATAAATCTATGTCTTCTTTCAATTCATCATTTTTCAACATACACTAAGCAAACTTCAGATAGAATATATATATACACATACATATATATTTAATTTTTCTTTTTTTGCAAATGTTCATGCTTGATTAGAACAGTTTCCGGTATACATTTGGTTCGACACGGATGACGAGTGAAGCGAACAAATAACGAGCAATGAACATATCTTCCCGTTCTTTCCGAGCCAATAAATAAATCAGAGACACAGTAACCAGATAAGATTTTGTCAAGGATTTATGCAAACCATTGACAATTATTATGATATTCATGTTCAAAGAAAACGAAAGTAAAACCTTGTAATCAATACAATTTCTCTGTTGAAACATTATTCAATAGTTTATATGAATAGGACAAAAAAAAAAGGTCATTATGAATTTAACTAAGAAAAATATCTAACACTTTATATGAACATTGGACAATAAACTCGTTCATACAGCAAAAATATCGTTAAGATCGCATCTCCTTTCTTTTTCTCTCGTTCTCCTTTGCTTCACTGAGTTACGTATCACTGGTTCTTTTCTTTTTTTTTTTCTTTTGCTTGCTTCAATACAGGACATATGTACAAAATGCGCAACCGTGAAATACATCGTGTACAATATCACAGGTCGATTACATGAAGTATAAAAAGGAAAAAGACGAAGAGAAAAATCCATGCGAAAAAAAAACCATTCGTAATACATCGCATGTGACCAGTCAAAATAACATGTAATATATTAGAGAATCGTTTTTAGGTATTTCGCGTCTGAACATTTAAGTCATGAATTCGGTCAGAAAACGTCCAAGAGATTCATACGATCAAACAGATTTACAAACACATACAGCTCGATTGAACGAACGTATTAATAAACATCAATTACATAATTATGGATCAGCTATTGATGTCTATGATGCTGTTGCACGAACATTATTACCTTATTGGGAGTATAATGAACGATATAAAATAAAAATTTTTAAACAACTACGTCTTGATACTTCTGGTATAGCTAATGTAGCACATCATGTTCGTGCTCAATTACAAACATTACATAATGATGAAAAAACTTCAACGATAACTATATGTAGTATTGATATATCAAATGGAGCATCATCCGTATATTTAGAAAATTGTATTCATGGTCGAACATTACAAATCTTAGCAAATATATTAGGCATTGAAATACGTCTTGTTACATCCTATGTCTATGAAGAAATTATCTCTGTAATACCAACAGATTTATTAGAAGTTCAACCATTATATATTGCATTTAATGATGTTTCAAAACAATTTTTTATGCTCGATAAACCAGGTAAAAAAATTTTTTTTTTGTTGTAAATTTTTTAAATAATAAATATTCTTAATATTTTAGCAAATGTTAAACGTGATGATTTATTACAACATCAACAAACACTTGATCATCTTGTTCAAAAATATAATTTAATTCCAACTATAATACCACCATCGAATACACGTTGTTTATCCGTTTTTTTATGTATTGCTCATATATTAAAATCAAGTGCTGTAGATTTTCTTGATACATCCGCTTTAGCTATACAAATTCGTGATGCTACATATCAACAGATAAAATCAAATTTTGATCTCTATGAAACATATATTCTTCCAACTTTATCGAATAAATCCAATGAAGTTGATATTCGACATGATAGTCAATATCTTACTGAATCAAATTATTATCGATATCAATTAGAACGACCCATATTATATGCACTCGCTCATGTTCTTCAATGTAATCTCATGATATTTTCTTCAGCATCTTTACAACAACAACCAGAAATGATTCATGCTGATATTAATAATCGATCAAATGCAAATGATCAAGTTATTGTTTTACTTAAAAATGAATCAACACAACGTTTTTCAAGTGCACGAACAACATGTAAATTAATAATTGAAATTATATATAAATAAAATGTCTATTTTTAAATATTTAGATCCATTAAATCATTTATTTATGCGAAGAGAATCTGAACATCAATTGGATCCAGTTTATGAATCTATTGATCATTCACCACTATTTGATCCAAAAAATAAAACATCATCCAATACATTTTTTAGTAAAACAAAAGATAAATTTGTAACAGCGGTTAATAAATTAGTTGATAATTATGGAAATTTACCTAAAAAACAAACATATATGAATACATCTCAACAACGATTAACGAATACAAATAATAATAATAATGAACAAACAGTACCATCATTAAGTAATGATCATAAACCATCAGGTACAAAACGTCAAGCTCCATTAGCTGAACATATACTTCGTCGACAAGAAGAAACACGTCAAATTAATCATCAAACAACTGATGTAACATATGAAAATACAGGAAATTGTGTGCCGACACCGGTACCAAATCGATCATCAACATCATCATCAATTACGACTTCAGCTAAAAATTCTGTAATATTTATTCACTGATGCGTGTCCTTATAGCTATATATAAAGTGGTAGCCTTATTTTTTCATCATTCTGTATTTTTTTCTTTAGCAACCTTCATCACCACATAAACGTCAATTACGTCCCGTTCCTTACAAAGATCGACAAAAAACCTTAACAAAAATGGGCACAACAAAAACAACACTTAATCAAAATGTTTTCAATGGTGTTACGATTGAAGATGTTGATGAAAGTACAACAGCGGATGAAGCAAATAATGATGATGAATATGATTCATTTAGTGACGAAGCTGGAGAAGGTTTACAAACGGTTATTCTCAGAGAACGAAAAAAAAAACCAATACTGTCATCGTCAAATAAATTACCACGCGATTATCAACCGAAAAAATCAACACCTTATCGTTTTGATCGTGAGTCATTGAAGCGACAGCAACAAAGTTACACTGCAGCTGATGAAGATCTATATGAGAATGATCGACAACGGGGGGATGATCTCAACCATGAAGATGATATCTATTTATCAACATCAGATATTGTCCAACGAGACAGAAAACAACTTCAATTATTTGTCAATGGTCGAACAAATAATAAATCGCAATCATCTTCATCATCATCATCCACACAACAACAGCAACAACAACAACAACACGATCGTAAATTATCAACACCAAAAATAACTTCAGCAAATGGAAATTCAAATTCAAATGATCGTCAATCATTCTTAATTGATAAAGATGCTGTACTTGAAGTTCTTGGTCATAATATTGCACAACGTGATCGACATATTCTTATGAAAGTTCTTAAACAAGAAGATTTAGTATCGAAAGAATGGCAACGTTTACTTTTTTTACTTGATGAATATGTTAATAATCCGAAGAAAGAGAAAAAAGAACGTGGTTTATATGCATTAACATTAATGGAAAATCTTGATCGACTTGGTTATGATATGCTTGAAATACAATCAACAGGTGCTAATCATTTTAAAGCTATTGCAAAATCAATTCTACTTATGATTGAAATAAATGATTGGTTTAGTGATCATATATGTCGTGTATTACATTTAAATGGACCAACTGATGTTCGTATGGTACGTCATTTAAGAAAATTATGTTTACGAGAATGGTCCAGAAATGCGGATGATTATCGAACATTATATGCTCAACATAACAATATACAACAACAGCAACAACAACAACTACAACAACAACAATTACCACCAACACCACAACAACAACAAGCACAGCAACAGCAACAACAACGAACAGCATTAGATTTATCACGTGAAATGGAACGTTTTCGTTCAGAAGATTATTATCGTCCTGATATGTGTACTTTAGTTAATCAAGCATTAGCTACAGGACTTGCTATACCAATTCATATTGTTAGAGCTGTACGTGAACCAAATAATCCACTTGAAATATTTGTACCAATGCGTGGTACGGCTCGACCAGGTCTAGCTATTGTACTTATTGCAAGTCATTCAACTACTGGAGATGGACATTATGATGTAGCAGTTCTTAAAGGACATCCACAAACATTACGTAAACATCGAAATGTAACATTTGATGATAAACCAGAAGTTCGATCATTTGAAACAACTGTGGATGAACAATCACAAGCAGCACTTAAAACTATAGCACTCAATAATAGTTCATCTTTACCACAACAACAAACATCATTAATGAATCCTGCATTAATGGCTGCACATCAAGCACAATTTTTTGCTAATCCATTTATGTATACACCATTTACATTTGCACCACCTCAACAACAACAACAGCAACAACAACAACCGCAACAACAAGCTCCAAGTTCACCTTCACTTATTCGAGGTGCTAATAATAATATGAATAATAATAATAATCAAACAAAGTCGAACATCACCGGTAATGCAAATTCAACAACACCACCTACATCGATGATGTTACAACCACAAATGCCATTTCTTCAAATGCAACAAGCACAACCAACATTTGTTTATACTCCACTTATGCATACTGCACAACCACCACCAGCAACAAATACAGCTGCAACGTTCTTTTATACACCTGCAAACTATCCTATGTAACTTTTTTTTCTGTTTGATAGTTAGGAATAAAAATAAAATATTAAAAAAGAATTTTTAAATATTATTACTGTTGATACATTGTATCCTTGTCCAATTCGTTGACTATTTAGTAAACAATTAATTGTCGTCTCGTTTACTTACTGGAAAAATTATAATTGAATCAATTAAAGCAAAGGTGAGACAGGAAATGTAGTTTTGTTTCGTCCATAGAGTACTTCAAAGTAATAAATAGATGACAATCAATGATAAATGGATTGGTAAGTCATACCTCTACTTCTGACCTTTGGAATAAATCTTTCTTTCAAAATATTTATCTGTCAATCGAAGTTTCTTGAAGATACTTATCAATGATGATGTTTATCTTAAAAAAATTGCATCCTAAGATATCAATATTGATATAAATAGGGTACACTAATCGACTATTGAACAATACAGTACGAGTAAACTATGGATATATATATATATATAGTAGATAATAATAAAAATAAGTTATTTTCATATGATAAATGAAGAAAAAATGATTATTGTAATAGATTTAACTAGAGATAAACCCTTTATCGATATTCTCTTAATTACTAGTGAACCTTACTGATGTATTTTTTTTGCAAAAGATGGTATCATCGTTCTTAGAATAATAATATACAGCATTGATTATACGTAAATCTATTAAAGTTAACTACTGTAATGCTTTAGCGTCAATTTAACAAAATTCATTTAAAGTAAAAGGCTCAGAAGATAGTTGGTAAAGAAAAACATGTCATTGTCTTTTTTTAAGAGCTTTCTGTCATTATATTCTATTAACTATTTAAAAGTCTCATGTTATATTAATGAATATAATTATAATAAATTTATCTAACAATTGTTGTATTTTTCTTTCAGCTTTAGATGTAAAAAACAGATGCATAAGTATTAAGACATCTTATGAATTATAGAATCAGTTTTGATCTTAATTAAAAATAAATGTTTTATTCTTTAGCTATAGTTATATGCAATATGATGTTTGGTGTCTATAATAGAAACAACTTCATGCAATTCAATATTTAAAAAATCTCGGTAAATTTATCATAGAGTATATCTGATTGAAGTTTTTAATGATTATTCTGACATGGATTTTGTTATATTTGTATACGAATCATGATAAAGTTGATTAATGGTATTTTATATTCAAGAATATAGACAGGAAGAAAACTGGCATCTAAACCTACACCCTGATACCAACAAGTTTTACATTGTTTTAAGTAAATATTCCATACCAAAAAAAGGATAAGAATCAATAAAGCATGAATATTTTTTTATATGCCTTGTGCTCTCTCTGAAAACTATGTACGGTTTCTTAGGATTATACGTCTTTCTGTGTCTTACAAAAGTGAGTCAGTATTCGTTATTATCAGATTAATGATGCACTACATGATTTCGTATTGTACATATTATTTTGTAGTCCAAAAATTTATTTTATTCTCGTATTCATTTATATAATCCCTCCCAGATGAAACTTACAAAATACAATAAGAAAATCTTTTATGTAAATATAGTGAATTTAAAACCAGATGGCATTCGATTTTTACTCAATTGTGGAATCCGGTGTAAAAATTTCGATTAATCGTAGTCGAAAATAATGAAATAGGAGATATAACAAAATTGAACACTACAATAAATCTATTGGTCTCTGTGGACATCTTTCTAAAGAAAGTCATCCATGAATCATTTAATTATTTCGAAACACGAGGGTGAGTGCGGATATGAGATGAATATGATACCCACAACCCTCAAGTATTTTTTTAAGCAATAAAATTCAATTTTAACCGAGTATATCGAAAAATACTGTAAAATTTTCATTTAAACATTAATCTTAAACTTTTAAAAATGATCATAAATGAGTAAAAAAATAGTTTATTACTCTCTCTGATTTTTATTATTGACAGATAAATTAATACATATTTGCTTTTCATTAGAATGAGTACAATATATAATCATTTTTAATAAGCTTTACTTAATACCTAGTACCTACCAAATTCACTTGTGTATCAAATGATTTTTACAAAGTGGCTGGAAATCAGTAATTATTTTGTATCACTAAGAACAGAAAAGCTTGGATTTTTTCTACACTTTATTCAATAACAGTAAAAAAACAAGTAGATTAGGAAATACCATTTAAAAAGCGAAGAAAAAATATACAATTAATATGCTAAGACAACTCAGTATGAAAAGGAAATGTATATGGTTAATTAACAGCTTTAAAGAAAATTTCATGATATTCCAAAAATAGGAATCTAATGTTCCTAGATTTGACGGTATCCTAAAATATAAATGCAGTGCTTTTGCCTTATTAGTAAACGCTTCAATGAGTTCGTTATGTAGTTTCATATTGGGAACACGTAGTTCTATCGGTTCTTCGTTATCATACACCATCAATTTACCTTCATTCATCGAGACAGCAGCACCCTTCTGAAGTGCTATCTCAGCTATCGGCAACAACCAATCAGCATCTTGAGTCTTGAAAAAATTTTTGATTAATTCATCTACTGAAACCTGTTCCCAGCACTTTAATTGTCTTCCATAAACGCAAAGTTTTGAAATCAACATTGGACCAAAAGCAATCATCGTGGCGGACGAACGCAAAATACCATCAATAACATCTACAGCTTCCAAAGGCAACTCCCCATAAGCATCAGGTATATTCGCGAGCTTGGTGAGCACTTCAATCTTCGCTGCTTTTTCACCCATTCTTCCGAAGGCCTTGCATACACTCTCTCTGACCCTAAAACTTTTATCTTCTAATGCACTAACCAGTTTAGTGATTACTTCATTCGTCGCTGCTTTTTCACCCATTTGTCCGAGAGCGTTACATGCATTTAATCTAACCATTTTGCTCTTATCCTCTAATGCACTAACCAGTTTAGTGATCACTGCATGTGTCGCTGCTTTTTCACCCATTTGTCCGAGAGCGTTGCATACATTTAATCCAGCCCTTTCACTCTCATGTTCTAATGCACTAACCAGTTCAGTGATCACTTCATTCGTCGCTGCTTTTTCACCCATATTTCCGAGAGTACTGTAGACATTTGATCTGACGTCTTCACTCTCATCTTCTAACGCACTAACGAGTTTAGTGATCACTTCATTCGTCGCTGCTTTTTCACCCATTTTCCCGAGAGCTTCGCATGCACTTGATCTGACATTGCCACTCTGATCTTTTAATGCACTAACCAGTTTAGCGATCACTTCATTCGTCGCTGCTTTTTCACCTATATTTCCGAGAGTACTGCAGACATTTGATCTTACCCATTGACTCTCATGTTCTAATGCACTAACCAGTTTAGTGATCACTGCATGTGTCGCTGCTTTTTCACCCATTTGTCCGAGAGCGTTGCATACATTTAATCTAACCCTTTCACTCTCACCCTCTAATGCACTGGCGAGTTTAGTGATCACTTCGTTTGTCGCTGCTTTTTCACCCATATTTCCGAGAGCTTCGCATGCACTTGATCTAATGTCTTCACTCTCATCTTCTAATACACTAGCCAGTTTAGTGATCACTTCATTCGTCGCTGCTTTTTCACCCATTTTTCTAAGAGCTTCGCTTGCAGATAATCTGACCCGTTCACTCTTATCTTCTAATGCATTAACTAGTTTAGTGATCACTTCATTCGTCGCTGCTTTTTCACCTATACGTTCGAGAGCGTTGCAAACATTTGATCTGATGTCTTCACTCTCATGTTCTAATGAACTAACCAGTTGAGTGATCACTTCATTCATCGCTACTTTTTCACGTATATTTTCGAGAGCTTCGCATGCATAGGCTCTGACCTGATAACTGTTATCTTTTAATGCACTAACCAGTTGAGTGATCACTTCATTCGTCGGTGCTTTTTCACCTATATTTTCGAGAACTCTGTATATAGAGTCTCTGACCTGATAACTGTTATCTTTTAATGCGCTAACCAGTTTAGTGATCACTTCTTTCGTCGCCGCTTTTTCACCTATATTTCCGAGAGTACTGCAGACATTTGATCTGATGTCTTCACTCTCATCTTCTAATGCAGTAACTAGTTGAGTGATCACTTCATTCGTCGCTGCTTTTTCACCCATTTTTCTGAGAGCGTCACATGCACTTGATCTGACATTGCCACTCTGATCTTTTAATGCACTAACCAGTTTAGCGATCACTTCATTCGTCGCTGCGTTTTCACCTATATTTTCGAGAGCTCTGCATGCACAGCATCTGACCTGTTCACTCTTATCTTCTAATGCATTAACCAGTTTAGTGATCACTCCATTCGTCGCTGCTTTTTCACCTATATTTCCGAGAGCTTCGCTTGCCTTTGATCTAGTGTTTTCATTCGCGCTTTCTAATGCACTAACTAGTTGAGCGGTCACTTGATTCGTCGCTGTGTTTTTACCCATGCTTTCAAGAGCTCCACATGCACTTGATCTGACATTATCACTCTTATCTTCTAATGCACTAGCCAGTTTAGTGATCACTTCATTCGTCGCTGCTTTTTCACCCATACTTTCGAGAGCTCGACATGCGGCGGATCTGACTTTGTCACTCTTGTCTTCTAATGCACTAACCAGTTTAATGATCACTTCTTTCGTCGCTGCTTTTTCACCTTTAAAACCGAGAGCTGTGCATGCACAGGTTCTCACCCTCTCGTTTTTGTCATCTAGTGTGATAATCACTAAATTGATGAGTGCAGCCGCTGTATTTGAACCGTTAATACGAGAAATGAAAAGAAGCACGTCGGTTCTGATATATGAATCATCATGTTGAACTAGACGGATAAATGCATTTATAATTCTTTGATTGCTGATTACCGACGGTGCTCTTCCCAATGATTGTTGAAGACACTGACGAATATTTTTATTTTCTGTGGACCAATTATCCTCAATGCACTTCGCTATCCATTCTAGTAATACGGTGTGTTGTGGAATAGATGATTGATCTGAAGTCTCTTCAATACACGAAATAACAAGTTGCATATGTCTGATCCCAAGAAGATCTATCGGTGGTGTTAGTATAAGTTTCCAAAAGATGTTTAAACTTGTGTTTGTATCAGCCTCACTCGAAAGACCTGATAGAAAAGTAAACACTAATGCATAACGTTGATTGTATTTTTCTCGTTGAATAAATCTGATTTCTTCTTGATGGTTTAGAGGCTCTTTAAGAGCTTTAATCAAATATCGTGCTGTAAAATATTCTTGAAAACTGAGGTGCGCAAAATAATGATCTTTATCCGTTTCAATTTGAGTATTGGTACCTTGTTTATTAAAACTTTTGAGAACTCCCATATTGAGTATATGTGGATGGTCATGTAAAGAGACTTTTTCTTCATTTAGTGCTTTTCTTAATAAATTTGGTCGTAGAATTATGGTGCTATTCTTCATTCCATTAAAGGCTAGATTTTGTAAGAACGCTAATTCTTTTTCACAACGTTGATTGATGTCGTCTTTAGATAGATTTTGAATGTTTTTATTTGGCATCGATAAATATCGTCGACATAACCATTCTATCATCACTGTATATAATGATGTTATTGTTAATTCATTTGTTTCTATGAAATCTTCGTTACTCCAAAGGCTACATATCAACTCTAGATTCACTGGAATATGTGCAACACCCCAGATAGATCGATTTGTCTTTAAGAATCTGAGTAATTTTTGACTTTTGTTCAAAGAATTGTCTAATTCATCTTTCATCTGATCAAAGAATTGTTCTACATATCGCTCAATATTATCGTTTGTAAATCCTGTGATTTCCATTTGTACATGATAGGGTAATGTATTTTGATATGGACGAGATGTTAAAATATGATGTGGAGTTTTAAGTAATTGTTCGAATAAACATTCCAAATGTGAAGGTGCATTTTGTACAATTTCATCATATCCATCCAAAATCCATAGAGTCTTCTTTGCATCAAAGTGTTTTTTCAAAAGATTGTTCTCATATTCAGGTAGATCAATTGAAATAATCTCTTTTTTCACAAGATCAAGCAAAGAATAACTTTGACCAATCGGTAAAGGAGGATATCGATTCATTGTTAAGCGACGTAATGGAATCAAAGCCAATAACTCATAGTGTGTCCAATATAAACCCATCGCCCATTGATAAGCAATATATCGACAAAAGGTGGATTTTCCGATTCCAGCACGTCCGAACACCAGCACTTTCTTCTCTTGATTTTTACATGTTTCAAAAATATTTTTGACATTTATTGTAGTTTTTGTCCCGTATATCTCTTCAAAACTTCCCATTATAGCATCACTGGTAGAAGCATCACGAAGTTGTCTTTCTTTTTGTTGTTGCTTTTTAGTTTCAACGATGGCTAAATTAATGTAACTGTCTTCTACTGGATAGGATTTTGTTGGATTCATTAGGCGTTCAATATAACCATTTTGATAATATTCTTGTTTTATCAATTGAAATGGACGGTTTGACTCAGATTGTGGCTCACTATCAAAAACATATAGAATGATTAGCAGAATAGTGAATATTTCATAAAGTTTTATTTAACACAAAATCATTTAATGTATTTTCGATCAGCTCGAATAGTTTACTAAAGAATTTATAAAAGAGAAACCAATACTTCATGTATCATGATGAGATTTATTTGCAATTCTATAAACTTTTTGAACGAATCTTTAGCTTTGCCAACGTTCATCAACAAAGAATAGATGTTGTTCGCAAACTGTTCGGAATAATTTTTGCAGATTTTTTTATAGGTAATTATTATATAAATTATAAAAGTTCTAGTTGAAACCATATTCTAGTTTGCAAACTTATATGCACGCATTATTATCAACCTTAATTTATCTTTCCTATGATATGTACATCTTATCGATATTTAAGTTTCAATATTTAATTATTTATCGGATAAAATAAAGGGTGATACAGTGAGAACCATATTGTAGATCGTTATACTTATAGAATAGAGTTTTTGTAGAATGGTCACATTAAACACATTGTTAATATCGAATGAATATGATAGATTTTATTTATCTTTTCAAATAGACTAACCTTTCAGCAGTTACTTCATCTAAGTGAACAATGAAGAGACATTTCTTGAAATTGAGTGCTTCCGTTCTGGCTCGTACATAAGTTCCAGGCATTAGAATAATTTCTTTCTCGTCTAAATTTGCTGAAAATTTGGAGATATCTTTGCCATGCATAGCTTCAATAGCGAACAAAGTGCCATGTTCGCCTAGAAATGGTTCAATAATTTTCAAATCCATCGAAGTTGAATTGATACTCCACCAAATCTCGATTTTATTTTTAACAAAGGCTGAACTAACATCACCGTAAACACCTCTCCAGAGAATCGTCTTAGTTGGTGTTGATGGTAATTTCTTGAGAGCTGTCATAAACAATTTTAAGTAGGCAAACCATGGTTTAAGCGCATGTCGATCTTCGGCTCGAAGTGCGTTGTTGAGAGAAGAATAAAAATCAGGTGATGACATCGAGTAAAGATATATTGTCGCCGATTCATCCCACGTTAACAAACCTGAATGTTGATTACATTTATTTTTAGCTGTTATAACATAAGCTATAATAGTAGGAACGAGTGGAATTAGTTTTTCCACAGCTTCTTCTAATGTAAGAATGGGTGAGTCTTCATAGCCAGATATTGGACTGCAGTTGGCTTCTTGAAGCTCTAAGAGAGTATGGTTTACAAAACGACTTTCCGACATAAGTATTAGTTATCGTTGTATTTTCGTCGAGATGTGTTCAGATTAACTGTTTGTATCTGAAAGGCAAAAATAATTAAGATATTGTATCAATTCAAATTTTCCTCCAGATTTGTCGTCTTCTATTGAATTCCCAATGAAAACAAGATTCATGTCTAACAAGAACCGTTGTGTGACTACTAGTATACAAAGAAAAGCGTTCGATTAATATTATAGAAAACTAGTACGAAGACATTCATACACATTCGAGTTATCGTTTACTGTAAACGAAAACAGGGCAATAAATGTGACATTGATTTACTACGCTTATTCCTCATTGTTTACTTCCAGAATATTATTAAATACATAATTGAAGAGCATAAACAATATGCATGTGGTATATCGCTTTCAGAAATAAACGATTCGCTTTATGAGCCTGGAAGTAAAAAGATCTGAGATTCTGCCAAAGACAAAAGTGGAGTGTGCATAAATATTGATGAAGAGCTAAGAATATAAATGAGAGCGTTCACTCGTGAAGAACTCGATCGTTTATGATTATTTTTATGAAATGTTAGTTAGAGAAATATAAAAACGAAAAGAAAACACTCTAGATAAAAGTCAAGTTGAAGCTCATCTAAATAATTTATGAACAATATTATCATATATATATATATATGATACGATATTCGAAAATAAAACTGCAGTAAACTCTTCAACAAAATATTCGAGAATATAAAATATCTTTGTCTAGTCACAAGCGTGACAAAAAAAATATTCACAACCATATTTTTCATCTGTAGAATAAGCTCTAACATTTAAAGATATCATTTATATTCTTTAGATCACAATCAAATAGTATAATTTTACTTACAGTTAAATAATACTCAATGATAATTAAAGCTGAAAAAGAATGAATAAAAAAACTAACTGTGTATCTAAACGAATATGAATAAATTAATAAAACATCGAGAGACACACTATTTTATATCTCCTTTACTGCAGTGATTACTGCTGCGTCTCTCGTTGTTTTTTTTTTACCTTAATAAAAAAACCGTAATCGACCCGAAAACGAAGTGTTTATACCACAATATTTTTCGGTTGTCTACATTACGGACTGAAAAGAATACATAAAATTTCAAAAAAAAATATCGACCAGCGCACGTTTTTTCTTTCCTTCCTTGCAATCATCATTAATACATACACTCTTCATTTGGCCTAACGAAAAAAAAAATCAACACGTAGTTAAATAGAAAAAATTTCACATAATACTATCATGTATCATTTATCTAACGAATGTTGCTTGTGATAATATATAATGCTGACTCAGGTTAAACCATCTCGAGGGTGTGGTTATGGGGTCAGAGTGTCTTGTATTTCTATCCACACTCACACTCTATCACATCTTTTTAAGTGTTTTTGATTTGAATGATTTTAATAACTTGAGTAAATGTGTTTTATTAATTTGATATAATAGGAAATATTTAACAAAAAAAATGTTTTTGATAAATTAAATGGAAAGATTTTTGAATGATTCTTATTTGAAAATTTGATGAAAAAAACGAATGTTTGATTTAAAATTTTTATTATTATTTCATTTGTTAAATAAATAAAAAATGAAATTATTGAATAAGTAAAAGAGTATGTATAAGTGGTTCAATTTGATCCACAACGTCTGATGTAATTGATTGTATACGAAAAAATTCTCGAATTATTTTTCCAACTGATTAAATTCGAATAATAATTGTAATTAAATGAGTAAAACATTTCCAAGTTTTTATTTCACCTTGTTTATTAATTAAATATTTTCAAAGTAATTCAATATAATAAGATTGAAATTGATTCACAATTAATGAATCTTTTAAACTTGGTTCATTTTCATTCATTGATAAACCTTGACTAAATAAAAGAATTGTTAATAAAAATGATAAGAATATTGGATCTTGTTCAGTTATTTTAACAAGTGAATGAATTAAATTAACAAATATATCACGTATACCATATATCAATACATGAACATTAAATATCATGACCTCGAAATATTAATACAAATGATGAACGAATATTTTCAATTATTAACAAATCTTCAACAGATAACATTTCAATTTTATTATTACAAATCAAAATAATATCATCTTCTTTAACAATATCCATCATTAACTATTTAAATAACAAATTCAAAAATGATTTTTCAACCATATTTCGGATTATTTAAGAAATGAAAACTCGGACATCCGTCTAACTACGATTTTCGATTTATGTGGGCTTTCATTCATCAGGATCCTTGCCAAAAGTAAAGCATTTGATATAAATGAATAAACAATTTATTATTCTCTACTTTAATGAATATCTTGGCTGTAGTCGGGATCTTAATCCCTAACATAAATGCGTATTTGTCCTAATGAACCCGGTTGTAGAGTCAAGAAGGAAGCACAGATTTGAAACCGTGAGCACTCTCATTGCTTTTTGAGCATTTTTTAATAAAGTTTTGTGTTTAGATGTTACAATTACTTTGACAGTATGAAATCAACTAATTTCACTGGAAAATGCTGAAGATTCCAAATCCGCAGTTACCCATTCTGTAGAATTTAAATATAAGAAAATCTTACATTATCAGTTGTATGAATTGGTTGTGAGATAGATTTTGATGAAATATTTCGTTTTCGTTGTTGATTAATTTTAAGATCTTTTCTCATTCCCACTTGAAAACAACGATCCAATCGACATCATGGACATTTTCGAGTATGTTTATAATCTGCTGAACATTGACCTTGACGTGATAAACATTTTAATTTATTCTAAAAAACTAATCTTAAATTAATATAAATTTAATAAATAAAAATTTCATTACTCTTTGATTTTGATTTCGATAAAAAAGTATTCTACATGATGCACAAGAAAATACATCATAATTATATCCAGTAGCAACATTACTACAAATACGATCATTTAATTTATTTGAATTTTTAACTGATGAATCAATAAGTTTTTCATATAATTTTTGAATTCTATTAAGAAAACGAAAAGAAAAATAAATACAAACAAGTTGAGATAAATTATTAAGATAATTGAAATCAATTGTATGTGTATCTCGAATTCGATTAATTAAATCTTCGTTTGATGTTAGAATTATCATTTTACGTTCATTATCCATTTGTTTTTCTTTTTCTTCGAAGGATATTTATTGAATAATAACAAGTATCAGTGAAAAAGAATGAATAAATCAAATACAGTTATGCTTCATCAACCTTCAAATGAGCAAAATGATTAAGCTTTTTTCTACTCAACATAAATGTCCGTAGTTGTTTTTTCTCAAAAAACTTGTAAAATAAGATTAATTCATAATGATTATTCTGTTAACAATTATTTTAGCTTTTGTTTTCAAATTTCGTAAAAATTTAAATAAAAACGAAATTACAGAATTTTTTACTGTAAAAAAAAAGAATTGAAATTTGTGATTGATTAATAAAACAAAATCCACGTGATAGTTTTGTACATGGATGTACATACGCCAACGCATGACCTTTTCTTCTGAAAGTATTTGTAAGAGTATATGAGAATACAGATATTTATGTTATTTTACACATAAATAAGATAAGTGTTCATCATCAATTATTTATTGAATTTGAATATGTTAAATGATTTATTAAAAAATGTACCTAATAATGGATTCGAAAATGATATAATTGTATCATGGTTTCCATGGAAAGTTAAACAATTAGGAATTAAAACACTTTTACAACAAAAATATAAAGGTAATGGAAATGAAAATAGTCCATTTATAATTGATTGGCGTAATTATGATCCAGAAAATCCTAAGAAATGGATGAATTTATATAAATGGTTTATAACATTGATTGTAAGCAGTGCAACATTTGTAATAACATTTATTTCTTCGGCTTATATTGGTCCATTTAAAGAACTTAAAGAAGAATTTCATGCAAGTGATGAATCAATTATACTTGGTTTGTCATTATTTACTCTTAGTTTTGCAATAACACCTTTATTTCGGGCACCATTTTCCGAAATTTCAGGTCGACGATTACTCTTCATAATAACTTATGATGGATTAGGGTGTGGGTGTGGGTGAGTGAAGAAGAGACACCTGCGTCTGTTGGGTGTGAGTGTGCGTGATGGTATGGGTGTCAGTGCGGGGTATCTCTTTTTCTCCTACCCATACTCACACTCACACCCACACCCGCACCCACACCCTCAAGATGGTTTTTTCTATGGTTTTTGGTTATAGAAAATTAAAAAAATAACAAAAATCTATGATAATTAACCTTGCTTCTATTTAACTTATTTTCCCTTCATTTCGGACGACAAGAGGAAGAGAAAAAATCAATAAGCCAATGGCTAATTTTTGCATCGTCGGCCATAATATCATGACCGTCTGTTACTCTATTGTCTTTTGTTCTTAATCAATGAAAGCATAAAAATTCAATTGGACGCTTACACATATATATATGTACCCGTCTAGCTTTTTTTTTCGTACTGTTGCTTATTTAATATTTTTCTCTATCAATTCGTCTTCTTCTAAAATGGCCGAGAAAGTGATAGTAAGTGTAGTCAAACATCTTGTAAATGGAATCTTGGTCATGAACCAAGGTACAGATATCGAGAAGTATCTCGTATCTAAGATCTTTGATACAGACCGTTAAGCTCTTATGTAATGAATGTCGATGTTTTACCTTTAGCTTGTTAAGATCTTGCAACAAAAATTTTGAGGCACTATTGTTTTTACTTTTAGGAAGAAGATGAAATAGGTGTACAAATACTTCAATTATGCGATCAATTTAAAAATGGTTATTTTGAAACAAGTGGCGCTTTTCTTAATGAAATTAAAAAAGTTCTTGAACAAACCAAAAAATAAAACAGTTGATTTATTTATCGTTTAAAGACATCATATTCTTTTTCTTTGTTCTCATCTTTTTCATTTATTATGTACGAGTTTATTTTGCGAAAAAAGTTATATTTTAACTCAAAATAAATGAGTATTCTTTTTTCATATAAGAAACTAATTAAGTGTGGTGGTCAAGAAAAGCAAAATATAGAATTATTAGAAAAATAGTTTTAAATTTATATTACAATAAATAAAATAGTTTTTTTATGATAAAATACACGGTGGGTGTGGGTGAGTGTGAGGGTATTGTTGAAACTAGGAAGAGAGTAAATCATACTCATACACCCATATCCTCATGTAATATTTTTCATATGCGATCATCAAGATATTTTATGGAAGATGAGGAAATATGACAATATATAAAACATAAATTATATATTTAATAATAAATAAATTCAATGACTTTAGTGAGGTATTGTATTCTTACTCAATCAGAACGGAAAGACGAATATAATTTGTTAATTTATTATTCGATATTATCATTTCGAAATTAAAAAAAAATTCTCGATTTATAGGTGTTTGTAATACGTGATAAAATACTCAATCAATAAGTTCATCTTCTGTTTTTTACAGTGAATTAAACTTCTGATATGAGAATATTAAACATTTCATTCATCAATTTTAATATGTATATTAAAAATTAATTTGCTATGATCTAATGTTATATATAGTTCCTCGTTAAATCAAAGATTTTAATGAGCAAATAGTATTCATTATTATGAACATGGCATTGATTTATTCTTTAAGGTTTAATCTCAAAAAAAAAACAAACAAAAAATAAATCTTTCTTTTTTTTCTCTCTCTCTCCAAATATTATTCATTCACTTCAAGAATACCAGCAATGGATCGTGTTGTCCAAAATGATTCTGTTTCTGAACATGGTATTGTTATTGTACTAACAAGATGTTTTGCTGCTTCATTAGCACTCACTGCTCGTAATGCTGTTAGATATACTGGACATTCGTAAACATTCGTTGAATCAATTGTTTCATTATTTTTCTATAAAGATATAAAATATTTATCATTTTTTTTTGAGAAAAAAATTATTAAATACCGGTATGAGTTTACAAAGAAGTGGTGGTAAACGATGACTTCGTTGTTGATTAGTACAATCAACAATTTCATGATGTTCATAATCCCATTGTGCACCATCTAAATAGATTCCATCAATAATAATACCATTCGAAATATCATGTGCAGTCTAAAATTTCAAAAATATAAATTATCGAAAATAAATCATTATCGAAACTTACCGTTGTTGATTGTAATTGTTGACGTTCTTCATCATTATCAAGTACTTTATAGGTAAATTTCAATTGATCAATAGGTAATGCAATTGATCGAGCTGAACTTTGAAGTATAGCCGAAAAAAGTCCTTTGGGATAATAGAATGCAGCCGTATTGAATATAGCTGGTAATGGTGATAAGACTTTATTATCTTCAACATAAATAATGACTTGTTGAGTCCATTCTTTAAAAAATGTAATTCGTCCAAGAAGATCAGTAATCCATGCTCGAAGTGATTTTGTTGATGGATATGATTTTCTCTAAAAGAATATTCTTTTGTATTATATATATATATATAAGTATCCATTCATGCAGGTTTAGTGTAAAAGAATAAGAAGTGAATGATTGGGAGACTTATCAGTAGACGAAACGAAAATATCTTACACCAGTGTTATGTATTATCTCCTGTTTATTATATATGTATGATCGATTTAAACTAAATAAATAATCTACATACTTTCCAAATCATTGGTACTTCATGCATTAATAATGTACGTTGAGTTTCTTCTAAAATTTCACTAACAACTGTTTCACCAACAAGTGCTCGACGTAAATCATCACATGTTGAATAAATTAATTCAAGTAATTCATTATATGTACGAATTTCTTGTTTTAATAATGAGAAGAATACTGAATAAGCATGATATTTATTTTCTATATCGAACACAAAATAAATAATCAAATAAATATGTTTTAAAATATATATCTACCTAATCTAGTATTAATTTTTAATAATGCATTTTCAAATTTTAAATGACGTCCTGTTGCACCAAAACCGGTTTCAATCGAGCGTGGTACTTTAGATGTAATATCATCAATAATATGCATACAAGCAGCATCACCATCCGATGAAGCCCTAATAGAGAAAAATTGCATTTAAAAATTATTTTAAGAGACTATTTCTACCCAAATGATATCATCATTCGATATTGTGGTTCAATTGTGACTAACATATCCACTAATTCATTTGCTTGTACATACATTAATGCACGATTTGTATTTGGATGCATACCAAATACGCGTGGATCATCAAAATCAGGTAAAGCATTAATATAAGAAAGAAGACCAGAAAAATTTAAATCTAAACTTGGTGCTTTATATGTTTCATCTCCTGCATATGAATAATCTTCTTTTAATGTTTCCGGACAATAAAATCGTTCAATAATACGTAATAATCTTCGTCGATCAAATTCATCTGTAACTCGACCACCATAAATAACTGAACCAGCAAGATAACAAAATACATCAAATGGTGGTATTTGATTTTTTGAACGACGTACAAGACTTTCTAATTCAAGTACAGCTACTTCCAAATCCGATTGATTAAATTCATAACTTAAATTCCATCCTAATGCTCCAAATTTTTTACGTTCATGAATAACAGCATGAAAAAATGCTAAATTAAATACTAGACGACGCCAATATGGACCTAATGTATTTTTTTCATAGACTTTTTCATTGACAATACCAGTTGGTGCAAAAGTTTGAAGAAGACTACTTTTTAAACCTCGTGGCCATTCAACGGTCATCTATAAATACCGAAAAAATAAAAATACAATTAATCAACAAAAAACAAACTTTAAGACCAAGTTGTAAAAGTTCAAGAGGAAAATGAACATCAGGTTTTGATGAAAGAAATAATCGAAATTGACTATCAAGTTCAAGACCGGGTTTATTAAAACTAGAATAAAGGAAAGTGTATTTTAAAAACAAAAATTATTTTTGTATTACTTATTAACAAGAACTCGAAGTCGTGGCATAAATGATGCACTTAAATGACAATTATGTAAAAATATCCAGCGGCCTTTTAATGTCAATGCTTTTGATAGGACTTCTTCGACTTTTGGTCCTTGACCTTGACCTAATGAAATAACATCAAGATGTGCTGCAGTTCCACGTGTTTCTCGTGCAAAACGAATAAGTAGACTAGTGGGATCAGTACCAGGAGAAAGTAATAAAATAATGGGTGCTTGTGGTGATGAATGTGCATATATATCTTGTATATTAGCAAAACCAGATGATAAAAATTTACTACCCATTTGTTCACTTACATATTGTGAAATAGATGGAAGTAAAGTATCAGGACGAAGAATTTTTATAATTAAAAGACATCGAAAACGAGTTAATTGACAATAATCATCATGTTGAGTTAAATAAATATAAGGATTTGAATGTTTAAAAAATTGTTGATCTGTATCATTTAATAAATTTAAACAAATAGGATATAAAGATGATAATTGTTCATTAACAAATACTAATTTATCTTCCGTTACATTATTTAAAAGTGGACTCATAAAACATGTCCATTCATCTTGTGTTATAAATGATAATTTCATTTTTTGTTCATTTTCATCGACGATTTCTTCTTGTTCATCTTCATGAATAATATTCGATGGAACAGGATTACGAGTTATATGTCGCTCATTGTATGCTTCACGTTCAATTGCTGTTGTTAATAAAAATGAAAATAATAATTGATGTTCAGCAAAAAGACTCCATGATACAAGTTGATAAATTGTATAAGTTAAACGATCAACTAAAATACGAAGTGTCGCAGCACGTTGTTGTGGATTAACCATTGGTATAAAATGTTTTGTATTACGTCTCATTCTCGATAGAACTGGTGGTGGTCCAGTATCATCTGGTGATTCTTCACTAAAACTACGTCGTGGTGATTGCAGAGGAAGACTAAAAACTGAACTACGTCTTCGTTTTTGCATATAACGTTGTACAGTTTCGACATCAGGTGCTAAATTTGTCATACTCATACGACGTGTTGTATCACGATCTAATATACATGATAGAAATGTACGTTGAAACCATGTTAATGAAAATTGATACATAACATTTAAACGTGATAAATAATTTATTAAAAAATAAAGTAATGAACCACGTTTTGCTAATGATAGATAACATTCACGTGCTATATTAATTTGTCGTTCATTCGATTCATTTTCGCTAACACGACTAGCTATTTCATCACTAGTAATTTTTGCACGTGTTAATATATCAATAAGATCATTCCGATCAAGTAAATGCTGTTCGGATGATGTTAACATTTCTAATGTTCGATCTTCATAATCTCGTAAACTTTTTAAATCTTGTGCTAATGTTTCTAATAATAATTTACGTTCATGTTCTAAATGTGGTTCTTCATTTAAAACGACAAGACTTAATAATTGATGTTCTAAACCATTTTGTGTTATTGTAAAATTAACTTTCAAAAAAGAAAAAATAATACATAAGATAATCTTCTTCTATTCACTTACTTAATGTAACACGAATACAAATATCGGGTAAAAAATGTGGATTATTTAATTGTGTAATAAAATAAACACGAAAATTTGGATTAAATTCAATATCAATATCATTAAAACGTATTGTTCCCATAGATGAATTCTTTTGATTGAATATATCACGATTAAGTAATGGTAATAATGATGATTCAATTGTTTCACCCACACCCTCAATAATTAATGGTAAACCAAGTCGAATACATTGTTCACATACACGTAATAATGTTGTATCATCTGCAGATACAACACGTAAATTATTTTCTGTTTCTTTTGTTCGAATCCATTGAATTGCTTGTCGTTGTGGATCAATTAATAGCGGCCATTTAATACAATGTTTAACAAGAACAGCATTTTCACTAGAAAGAAAAATATATTTACAAAAAATTAAAATTATTTAGTTAATTCACATTGAACATTCATCATCTGGTAATAATTGACTAATCCAATTTCTTATTTCACTTGTTGTTGATAACATTGTTGATAATTTATAATTTGAAGAAAAATTAATTTGATTATCGGAAAGAATTTTTTGAAAATCTCGCATAAGATCATGTCGAAATTCACTATTAAATGGTCCAAAATAATTAATTGCTGACGCTGATAATAATGCATCACCAATTAATAAACGTACTTGTTGTTCAAGTTGTGTGACTTGTTCTTGCCAACGAACTTTTTCAATAGCTAATACATTGGTTAATTCATGTGCACATGACATACGTTGTTTCATTAATTCACGTCGAGCATACAATGCTTGTTTTTCATTAACACTATTATTATATTTATCTTCTAATTCTTGTAAATGATCTTTAACCTTTTTATAAAAATAAAAAAAATAAATTAGGATGTTTTTTTTCAAAAAAATACATACAAGTTTAAGCATCTCTTGTTTTCGAGATAGACTTTTTTGCATAACAGATAATGCTTCATTCGCTGTTTTAACTTTTTCTTCTTTTGGTTTGACTGTTCGATATACTTCATAATAACGTTGAATAGCAAGAACCCATTTACAAATAGATCGACATGCCGATGAAACTTTTCCAATAAGATCCGGTGTAAATTCAGGATTACGAGAATATTGTAAAAGTTTTCGATATGTTCGATCCGAAATATTATTTATATCAAGATTAGTTAATCGACTGATAAAACCTGAATCACCTAAGACTTGTCGAGCTGTTGCCCAATCTGATTTACATTCTAAAAGAACACATACAGCACACATGACCATCATAACTCCATAAGGTGGACTTTGATAAACTCGAACTTCAGCAACATCAGCTTTATCAAGTTGTGAAACATCAGCCATAGCTTCTTCTAAGACTGGTTCAACACTTTTAAGATCAAGTTCAGCTTGTGTGGCATATCGTTCAACCATATCGGTATCTTGATGTATTTTTTGTTCTTCAATTTCAACAATTTCTTTAACTTCAAGTACAGCTTTTTGATCTTTTTGTAATTGATTCAATAATTGTTCAATTTCCTATATGAAATAAATAAATCATATGTTCTTATTTTCTTTCTCTATTTGTATACTTTTTCTTTTTCATCAATCTGTGGACCAAGTAATGCTAATTCATCACGCATAACACTGACACTAGCATTTGCATCAGATAATTTCAAAAGACCAGTTGATAATCGATTATAATTAGTCTAATGATTAAAAATAGAATAGAAATAAAACGAGAAAGAAAAAATTTTACTAAAAATTCTTGTTTTGTTTGTGTCATCATTTTATCAAAAGCTTTCATTAAATCCATATACGATGATGGTGTAAGATAATAATGTCGTTTATGTGCAGCATAGAAACGTTTGGCTGCTTCAACAACAATTTCATGTATTGAAACACAACAAAGTGCTAATCGATGATGAAGTTCTTTATCATCAATACGTTCATGATTAGATGATAAAATTCTAAAATATTCAAATCTTATGTAGATAAATATAGAATTAAATTCTTTTACTTTAAATCAACTATTTCAAGAAAAACATCAGCTACTTGAACCATCGATGTTTCACTCCATTCAGTAAACCAATCAATACTTGTACAATTAAGTAAAGCTGGATGTAAACGACATATTTCACGAAATTTACTACCAGCAGGCGAAAATGAAAGAATTATATGAAGATTTGTTCGAACACGTTGATAAAAAAATTCTTGAAGTTGAGCAGGTGTATCACTCATATTAGCTGCATATGCATCATTTTTAAGATCCATCACAAGTGCATTAAATTCATCAGCTTCAAATAAATCAACAACAGTACCAGAATTAAGAATACTTTCTATATCTTCGATAAAACTATCCTATATATATATTAAATAATTAATTCAAAAACAAAATAGATCAAGAAAGAAATAGCAATAGCAGTTTTACATAAATATATATAGCTTTTTATTACCTCATCTAGACTGAAATATGTATGAAGATTAATAAACAATGTATTAGAAAGAAAAAAATACTTTATTTACATGTAATAAATCTTTTTCTTGTATAAATAAAGCCATTGGACGATTTTGAACTGTAACAGCTTTGAATACAATCTTTAAATCATCTCGAAATTCAGTATATGCATATCCACGTTTGATATTCAATTGAAATAATGAATGACCACAAATTAACGCACTTAATTCTAAACATGTTCTTCGGCCTGTACCATCAAGACCGATTAATAGAAGATGTCCACCAGGTTGTTGTAAAACTCGACATATTCTTATAACATGTTCAACAGCTTCTTTAAAAAAGACCATTTTCAGTGTTGACTGTCCACTTAAAGCTTGTTTCATTTGATAATCCAAAAATACTGGACAACATTGTCGCCAGTCATTTAATTGTTGATATAAACGATCATCCGATTTTAAGAAATTACAAAATAATAATGGATTTTCTGAATAATTTGATATATCTAATGAAATTTTGAAATAACTATTTGTTGTTGCATTTAAATGTTTATAAAAAATCGCTAAATCATTTTCTGTTACTAATCGATCAGCAAAAACACGTAAACATTCATGAGCAAATAGAATTGATAAATCTTCTTGATTTGTTATTGTTAATGTTGATGCTTGCATTATACCTTGAGCAAGTTTAGCTAAATCTCTTAAATTAAATATATAATGTACTTTCGATGGTGTTGGAAGTATATTAATTGAAACACGATAATACATAACAAGACAAGCTGAAACAAGAAGATAAAGTGATGAACGTACATCTTGAGGAAAATCTAAACTATTTAAAAATCGTCCAAGACGAACACTATAAATATGAAAGAGTTGTTTCGCAGCTGGATCAGGTAATGCAAATATTGAAAATGATTGAAGTAAACGTTTTGATGGTGCTAAACGACCTGATGATGGTGAATCACAAGCAGCTAGAAATGTTAAATCTGATATTGGACGTATTTGATTTTTTTTTGCATCAATAGCTGATCCTAAAAACAAAATCCCAAAAAATAAAGTTCTAATTATTCTTTAGAAAATTAAACCTGTTTGTAAAATATATCTTAATGTTTCAAGTGTTGGTTGATCACCAAATGAATCAACTTGTGGAATATTTAAATCATCTATAAATATTAATAACCATTTTCCTTGTTGACAACCAAGTAAATTGCCTTTCTTTTTTATTAAATTGCCTGTTATTTGATTTACTAATTTATTTGGTGTTGTTTGAGCACTCATTTGAATTTTAAGTGATTGTAAGGCTAAGAAAGTAGAAGATAAGAATATATAACTGAGCTTTTTCTTAGATATTGTTAGTCACATTATCATTCGTTAGATAATCCTTTCATATTTAAAACTTCGTATTATATTTATATGAAATATGAATACGAACGAAAGGATTGGAGGTCTATAATTCATTACTTACTTTTAAGTTTCGAACGATGCGGAACATTTCCTGAGGGATGTAAAGTTTACTTATCAATGAAATTTTTGACAGAAAAAAAAATAAAAATCATTTTTTTTATCGTATATTTACCATCAGCTTTTGTAGTTTCTGGAGGTACATCACTTGTTTGTGCTAATTTACTTGCTGTTATACCTCTTGCTGCATTAAATTCTAAAACATCACCTATAATTGTACCTGGTCGCACGAAATTTCCATCAGGTAATGTTAGCGATCGAAGCATTGCTTCGATAAGTAAAGTTTTTCCGACACCACTATTACCAGTTAAAAGAACAGGTACTTTATGTATAAGTACTGCTGTTATTAAAAATGAATATCGAACAATATCGACAGTTGGTATAACGAAATGTGATTGTTCACTTTTAATTAATTGTTCAGTTTTTGGTACAAGTGAATCCCATTCATGATATATATATGTATTTAAATCAATCATATAATCAAATATCATACGTGCGTCAGGTGGTAAATAAGCAGAATAATTAATATTAGCACCAAATAAATCACTAAAAAAAAATTTTTTTGAATGTTGAGATAGGAATTAAATTTACCGAACAAAAGTATCGAATTCTTGTGTTGTTGGATCACGTTCAACTTTAATTTGTTCTTTTTGATTAATTAAATTATCATCTTCGAAATTATCTTCTCTTTTTAATCCACCACCAAAACTCCAAACATAACAAAATATATAAATACGTATAAGACATTGTCGAATATTTTTCGGATTTTTTTGTAAATAATATTGTTTTTTATCATTGATGACATAAACAACTAATTCATCACTAGAAGAAAAGAAAATCAATTGATATTTATTTGTAATATTCATACCCTTGAGTGAATTGTTTGGTCGTATGTGGTTTTGGTGGATTGTCTAGAATAAATCTTACGTTTTTCAGAAACTCTTTAGTTAAAAATAAGTCATACTTGCTGCTGCTGGTACATTTCGTTGATCATCTTCACCAAAGCCTCCGTGTTTATCCAAATAATTCAAAAATGTTGATAATAAAGAACAAAATGTTTGTAAAACATTTATTCTTGATACTGGCATATGCCAAGGATCTTTCAATGAATCAAGAAAAGCAAATCCTACAAATAATTTCTTCATAGTAAAAAGAAAATAATAATAAAAATAGAAATAACCTTTGTCCAATGAAAAATCCATTAATTCATGAAGAAAATTAATAGCGCTTTCGGGAAACATTGCAGGTAATTTACATCGATACCAATAATTTAGAAAAGGTACATATCCAAGATCTATTGGATCAAAATAAACCATTGCACATCGAGTAACAGTAGCTGGTGATGAATTCACTAATGAATCAACTTCAAATAAAATTCGAGTATGTCCAGACATTCCAATACGTTCACCATTCGCCAAACAAAGGATTTTAGAATCATCAAGAAGCTAATTTATTTATTTATTAATATCATATGATCTGTAATTTTTAACTTACTGTATTTAAATTTTCGACCCATAATGTATCAATTGGACCATCAAGAACTAACCATTGCCAATGCTCAACATATGATTCATTCTATTATAAATAAATAAATATTTTTTAATATGAATAGAATTATTTTACCTTGTCTGTGTTTATTTGAGATTCATGCGATTTTGAATATGATCTCATAATAGTCGCAAGCTAAATAGAATACATATAAATTAATGAATTGAATAAATATAAACATACCATTCCATCCGTAAATTCTAATGTATCTGGATTAACTGCTCCATAAAGTTCAGATATTTGCATAGATTTTGGATTTAAAACATTGACATCAACAGTAGCCAAACGATTTTGTTTAGTCTATATTATAAATAATTATCTCTGTTTTTTCTCTATTCTATTTCATATTATTATACTTACTTGTGTTTCATCTTTGACTAGTGTTGGTAAATATGTTAATGCTCTTTGAAGAATATTTCGTACAGTTGTTTTTCCTCCACCAGCACCACCAACTAACATTGTACCGTGTCGAAGAACAATTTGATTGTAAAGTTGTAAAGCTTTATCTGCTTGTGCAGGCCAATATTCATAATTTAAATCTCGAATAGCACGTTGTATAGCTTGTTCAATTGTTATATGTTCATGTAAACTTTTATCTGATTGTGGAAAAAGATCACGAAGAATACCAAGAAAGAGTGTTGCATCGTCTTTAAGTAATTTCGGGAGATTTGATTCAGTTAATGCTTGTAACATTATATTTTCCTAAATTTTTTGCATAGAAATTTTACTAAATAATAATAATGACGACATACTTCTGATTGTTCATCAGTAAGTTCTGGATCTTTAATATGTGATCGTTTAAGTTCACCGGCAGTTAAAAGAACAGCTTTAATTGCTCGCATACCAAAATCATAATGATCTTGTTGTGATAATTGACTATTTGATAGATTATATAAATAAACAATTTTAGTTGCCAAAACTTTTGCTGATGTAAAACCAACAGAAAAAAGAATAACTAAAGAAAAATTCATATGAATTAAATATATAGAAAAGAAAATCTTTTCAAATTACCTTCACCAATCAAGGAGTAATGAGGAATCATCATTGCTATAGGTCGAAACATAGGTTTAAGATTATCAGGTAATTCAACACGACCAGAATAAGTTGGATTCCTAAAATATAAAATCGTATTAAAAAAACAAAAAATTTTGTTTTTCGAATATTTTACATAGTAACAAAAAATCCACATGATGGATTCATTTTGATTTCTCGACCATCAAATGCAAATCTAAATAGATTAATTTTAGTTTTTAAAAATTATTTTTCTGCAAACTAACCGTTGTGCATGAGAATCTTTTGCTGTTTTAATTGTTAATAATTGTTGAGCAACAACAGACAATACTTCCACATCAATACGATTGAATCTAAATTGATTTTATAGAGAAAAAAGAAAAGATAAAAAATAATTTACTCATCAAAACAACACCATGATCCTAAATGAAAAAAAAACAAGAATTATAGAATAGAAAAATTTCAAATATGAACAAACCTGATTGAACTAATCCACTAAACATTTTTCCAAGTGTCTAGACATTAAAGAAATTTTTATAGATAATAATATTGAAAGAGGAATTTTACTTTATGATCAAGTTCATCAGAACAGTTAAATACTAAACAAAGTTTTCCAAATGATTTTGATAAATCTTTAACTGTTTCTGTTTTTCCTGTTCCAGCAGGACCTAAATTAAATCAATTATTTAGTTTATCACAGAAATAAAAGATATATATAGTCTATACCTGATGGTGCTCCACCTAAATTAAGTTTAATCGCACCAGTTAATGTTAAATAACATCTTCAAAAAAAAAGTAAAAATTGAAAATTATCACAATAAATAAAAAAATATATTAACCTATCAGTAAGTGGTGTAACAACTAATCGAGTACAACATCCAAGATATTCATAACCATAAGGAAATGAAGCATCACCTTGTAGAAGTTGAAAATTTGTTTCTGTATCATTCCATTCATATCGAAGATGTTTTTGCCATTCAAAATCATTTTTATCTCGAATCTAATTATTTAATTAAAAAATAAAAAAAAACGAAATATCTTTTTTAATTTACGTGTTGTTTAATAAGTATTTCAAATATATCACGCCAATGAACTTGTAATGTTAATAAAGCTTCAACAGTCAGTAATTTTGTCTGTTCAATTTGTGTAAATACTAATGCGCATACATTTTTTATTGTTGTAATCATTTGATCACGTGTTCGAATAAGTGTGTTCTCAATTTGTGTAGACGGAGAATCGAATGTTTGATTTACTTGTTGTGTATACATTACTTGAGAAATAGTTAAAACAATTTGACTAGGATGTTTAAGAATCCATTCAATAAAATCTGTATTTTTTATATCAGCTAAACCTACCTAGAAAACGGATAAATTTTTGTATGATTTAAATAATATAAAAACAGACTTTTAAATGAACTTTAACGGCGTCATACATTGCTTGTTCAACTTGAGTTAACCATTGTTCAACTACACCTCTTGGTCGTATTGATTTTGTAAAATTTACAACTTCACCTTCGACAGATTGCATACTTGTAACAACTTCTACTGGTGATTTAACGATCCGTAAATAAAAAATATTCGCAAAACATTTACGTAAATGTGGCTAGAGAAAAGAAAAGATTCATTTTATATTTTATATAAATTAAAATAAACATACTTGAACACAATTTGCATCATTTGCATGTGATAGAATATCTAATAGATCTTCATTACTAAGAAAGAACAGACGAGGAAAAGCTAATCGTTTTGTTTCCAAATAATCCTAAAATAAAATATATGGTTATAGTAATGTTTTTCTATGATCAGTAATTTGAACAAGTAACGCTCGTCCGTGAACTCGCTTAACTCTCTCTCATAGAAAATGATGATCCAACAGACCTCAAACTCGAAGTCCCTGCATCGAAATATCTTTTCCAAATATTTGGTCTTCGATGTTTTTTTGACTCTGCGGACATACCTCAAGTGCCCGTTGAATTTTTTCCATTTGTAAATTATTTGTTTGTAATAATTCTAATGTTCCTGGTTGTGTTGCTGATTTAAGTGCATTTGGTAATTGTTCAGTTCGACGCATTAATTCTTTCCATTGTTTATCAACTTGTGAGAAAATCTTTGTTTCTTGTGTTAATTGAATATCAGGTGTAGAAAATATTTGTTCTAAATAAAGCCAACGTCGTTGACATGTTATCCATTCATCAATTGTTTTTGATAATAATGTTAAACGTTTATCCCATTCATCAACTAATTGTCGAATTGGATTGATATATTTTGATGATTTTATTGTAGACATTGTGATCTAAAATATTCACATGGAAGTTTTTATTTGACAAAAACAAATTCATTTACTTGACTTTCTTCTAATTGTTGTAATATATCTTCATATCCAACAATAATAAATGTATCTTTACCTGCATGAGGTAATAAACGAAAATCTAATAATCTCCATCTAAAAATTATAAGAAGGTCGTTTTTTTTCATCTTCAGTTTAAAATAATATACCTTTCAATAATTTTATTTAACATTGTTTCTAATGCTGCTTCATTTGATGCTAATGATGAAACATCCGTTATTTTATCTATTAATTGTAAAATATCAGGTCGAAGTAATTTATTTAATTTTAAATATTCATCATCAATAATATCTTTTCCAATTAATACACGTAAACGATCAAAATGTCTTTTTTTCATATTTGGATTACGTAATGCTAAAATAATAGGCATTGATGCTTTAAATTCTATAAGACGTTCTTTTAATTTTGGTATGATATCATTTGGTGGTAATGCTTTTTCAAGTATATAAATATTTTGTGTAAATTTACTAACTTCTTTTTGTAAAAGATCTATATCAATAGCATCAAGAACAGTATTTGTCCATTCACGATAAAGTTTCGTCCAATTTTGTTGTGATTCCCATAAAAGTTTACGTAAATTAATATCTTGTTCAATATCAGTTAATTCAGTATATATCGAAGGAAGATTAATTGTAACATCTTGACGACGATATTTATTCGTTATTTGATAATCACTATTTACAAAGAAATAATTAAACAAGTAACGCTCTTTCTCGTAGAAATGCATCCTCTTCACATTTACTGGAAAAACAATTGAAACCCGTGCTCTCCTTTGTTGTTCATTACTCTTAGCAAAAACTCGGTTTCTATCAATCCACGTCACTACTCTTCTTCAGTAGTCTGAGCAAATAAGGCGCACATTTGAAATCCCCGCATCGAAATAACCGTAGAAATGTTTTTTTGACCCTTCTCTACGAGAAAGAGAATAAAACGTTTTTGTTTTGCATGTATATATAAATTTACCCTAAGATACGTTTTTTTGTTGAATTTTTACTAATTTGATTAAAACGTTCTTGAAATGTTGTATAATTTTTTGCTTTTTCATTTAATTGTGCTAATGATTCTTGTAAAATTAAAATAATCTCTAATGCTGTTTCAGGACGTGTATCACTTGCTAATAAAGATGAATCTTTTGATTTAGTTTTTAATTCAATTATTTGAGTATGTAAACGTTGAATCATTTCATCAAGTTCAATAGTAAATTTTTGTACATTTTCATCACATTGAGCTTCGGTATAAAGTAAACTTGACTATAAATAAAAGAAATACTAATCCAACAAAAGAACAAAAATATAGACTATACTTTTAATTGTTGATAAATAGGTGCTAAAGATCGAAATAATGAATAATCTTCTGGTGCAATATTCATAGAAAAATCTTTAATTGTATCGAACATTTTTGATATAATTTGAAATTCATTATCTAATTTTGTTAAATCCGAATTAACTGTATTTAATGTTGCTAAATGTTGAACAAAATCTTCAACTGATCTTGGATCACGATCCAATAATTTAAGTACATCCTAAATAAATAATATGTTAATGATTAAAAAACGAAAAATTCAATTAAAATTACTCGAATTGTTCTTTGCATTCGTTCATTTTTTTCAACTGCAACCGGTGGTAAATATTCTCCAATCGTATTAATAATATGTTTTGGATAAGGTATTGTTGCATTATAAAATTGATCGGCTTTAACAAGAATAAGTCCAACACGTTGTTGAACAATCATTTGTTCCATTTTCAATAATTGGTGAGTATGTTTAGTCATTAGAAAATGTATATCATCTGTAGTTAATTCTTTTTGTTTTAATTTTTCTTCAATTTTTAATTGCGTACAACTAAGTACCATATCACAATGTTTTTGATATCGCTAGAAGAGAAAAATATATTTCATTATATCTTTTTCTCCTATTGTCATACTTTAATAAAACTTTGAACATTTGCTAAAGCTTGATTGACTGTACTTAATATATCAATAACAACTTCTTGATGATCAGAATCATCTCCAAAAAGAAAAAGAACATCTGGCCAATGAGCTTTCGATACATGAATAGGTGTTCGACTCAATGGATTTGATGCATCAAAATTTGGAAATGTACAAAATAAATTCAATGTTGGATGATCACGAAGACTAGGCACTTGACCAACACATTTTTCTAGTCCATTGATAATATCACGCGTTGCATTTTTAAAATCATATTCATTTGGACTTATTTCATATGTTACTCTATCTTTACTTTCAGAAAAACTAATACAAAAAAAAAATAAATGAATGAAATTTTCGTAATATAAATAATAAACCTGTCAGACGATGCTTCATCGTCAAGATCTGATGTATTATGTCGTGGTAATTGAAAAAATTTTAATAATAGATTTATTTCAAACATTGGTGGAGGTATTCGATTAGCAGTATTTTCAAGCTAGAAATATAATATTAGATTTTAATGTTTTTTTTTAGTCTTATATTATACCCGAGGTAAATCAAGAATATCATTTGGTTCGATTGTTGAATATAAATCATCTTTTTCAAGATTTTCACTTCGTAATACTGTTTGTATTCCATAATTTTGTTCTTTATTATTTGATCTTTAGAAAACAAGAAATAAGATTAATTTTATTCGAAATTTTATTTTTACGCTTCAGTTGTTGGATCTGTATGAAACGATGCACGTGATTCTGATGGAAATTCTTGTTTAGGTCGATAACTTCTA